GCCGCCATTTTGAAAAACTATTTCAAACTTAAAGTCAAGTTCTGCTAGGCCGATTGAACTGAAACTTTGCAGGAATGATTGACTGATGGTCCTGACAAAGTGTTGTTATTTTTCGGGTCAATCAGAAATACAATTTGGCTGCCATGGCCGCTATTTTACTACTAAGTTCTAATAGGCCGATCTCACTTAAAATTGGTCTAGGAATGATCAGCTCATGGTCCTGACAAAGTTAAGTTAACATTATACTATTGTTTACTCAAATTGGTACATATTTCAACAACAAAAATAAATATTGTGGGACTCAGGTGACCGTTAAGGCCCATGGGCCTCTTGTCATAAATAACCTTGACCATTATAGTATATCAGAATAGTCAAACTGGTTGCAATGCTCAAAATACTTTTACTGTAAAAACAAAAGGGCCTACATCATAATAGTATGAAGCTTGCTGATATGTAGAAAAGGCAACTTAAATCAGGTAAGTACCTTCAGGTCCCTTGAGCCTTTTGTTATCTCTACCCCTCGAATGAAGGGTGACATATTGTATTAGTACTGGTTCTGGTTTAGTACACTCTTGTCTGGGACTTAACTTTAAAACTATTAAAGATACAATTTTCAGTATATCTGCATTACCCACAGACGATGTAAAGTGCATTGTCGTTATAGGTCACTGTGACTTTGACCTCGAGGTCAAAGGTCAAATAAGTGCAAAGTTTTCAGGAATATCTTGTCCGGACCTAAACTTTTAAACAGGTAAAGGGGAGACATATGTTTTTGTTCACAAAACAAATCTCTAGTTGTATGTTGATTTCCTGGTACATGTTTATCTGTATTTGTTACTTAATTAATTATAACTACAGCTCTTATCACAGCAGTGATGTTTTTATTCCATTATATTGTAGGAGATGAGGGCAGAGCTGGCAAACTTAGCCCACAAGTGTTGTGACATTGATAAGTACCGGGTGGAGACCTGCTGTGTTATAGGTATGTAAAGTTATATAATTTTCTGTTAACCTTGTACAAAAGTCAAGCTCACACTTACAGCTAATCTTTATGAATCCAGCAACTACTAATCTAATAATCCCACTGTCCAACCACTACTAATCTTGTTATGCCACTATCCTGTCGCCACCACCAATCTGATTGTTACACATTCCAGCCACTACTAATCCCACTATTCTGCCTTCACTGATCTTGTTATGTCTCCCTTTCGAATGAAGGGAGACATATTGTATTAGTACTGGTTCTTCTTCTTCTGGTTCTTCTAATTGCAACTTGTCCGGGCCATAACTTTTAAATCGTTAAAGATATCTTGATGAAACTTGAGGTATGCATGCATCTCCCACAGAAGGTTTGAGTGCACTGGAATTAGGTCACTGTGACCTTCACGTCAAAGGTCTAATAAGTGCAACATTTTCAGTAAGGTCTTGTCCGGCCCGTAAATTTTAAACCGTTAAAGATATTTTGATCAAACTTGAAGTATACCTGCACTGGAATTAGGTCTTGTGCCCCACTATATACAGAGTTATGACCCTTTGTTTATTTTTTTCTACCGAAGTTTGTCTGGAGCTTAAGTTCCATTTGATTTCGCCTATGTTGACAAAACTTACCATATTTATGTATCTTGGGAAGGCGGAATCTCTGGTACTAAAACGGGTTTCGTGCCCCTCTATATAAAGAGTTATGGCCCTTTGTTTATTTTGTATATCTTAGTTTGTCCACGACATAACTTCTAAATCGTTAAAGATATCTTAATCAAACTTGAAGTATACCTGCATCACTCACAGAAGGTGTACAGTGTACTAGAGTTAGGTCTCATGCCCCACTATATACAAAGTTATTGCCCTTTGTTTATTTTTGATACCGAAGTTTGTCCGGAGCATGAGTTCCATGTTATTTCACCTATGTTGACCAAACTACCAAATTTGTGTATCTTGAGAAGGCAGAATCTCTCGCACTGAAATTGGGTCCTTTGTCCCTCTATATATAGAGTTATAGCCCTTTGTTTATTTTTAATACCGAAGTTTGTCCACAGCATAGCTTCCATGTTATTTCACCTATGTTGACCAAACTTGCTATAGTTATGTATCTTGGGAAGTTGGAGTGTCGCATTCTAAATTCAGGTCTCATGCCCCACATTATAAAGAGATATGGCCCTTTGTTAATTTTTTATACCGAAGTTTGTCTTTTGGCTAATAAGGAGAGACATATGTTTTTGTTCACAAAAAAAAGTTTCTAGTTGTCCCTCTATCCAGGCTTTAGTTATGTTGACCCGCTGTAAAGTGTTACATAACAACACATGTGGACTAAGAATATTATTAACGTCACATTGTCCTTTTTAATATAGGTCTGGAACACGACAGCAAATCTTCCTGCATACAGATTATATAGAGATACAACATCAAACACATAGTTCTAAAGCTCACCAAGTGCTGTACCCAGGCCATCCCAGGCCCCTCCGGTCGAGGCCTTCCCTGGCCTCTCTCTCTCTAGAGGTGGTTCATTTCCTGAACCTCAAATCCTGACTCTACACTCCCAACTCTAGACTCTGACTCCTATCTCTGGACTCCTTTCAAATCCTCTCCAAGTACTTTTAACAATCTATGCAACATTAACTATTCATGATTCCACGACCACCCATTGTACATATATAATTAGGCACATGCGACAATTTAATCCAGCTTCTAACCTAACTTACCCCTACCAAAACAACAATACTTAGATGTACCATATGGCAATGACAGTTACCCCTGTGACCCTGTCTGGTTTGGGGAGTTCACACTCTCGTTCCTATCTCTATGTCATCCATGACAGACCTGGTCGCCACTATCCCTTTAGCGCTATCTACAATTCAACAGTCCCCCGTCAATCAATGCACAGTGTTATCCAAATCGTTAAATTTAACCTCAGATGTACTTTTGACCAAAGCACTGCTCTCTATATATATTGATACCCACTTTCTTACATGTTATAAGATGGCTCCATTCTCTCTTATTCATTACCTAATTTTTAAGCCCATTTTGTAACACAAGTTTAACCACTAATTTGGTTGTCCCACTATCTAGTAACCACTAAGCCTGTTGTCACTCTGTACATCCAACCACTACTTATCTGGTTGTCACACTATTCAGCCAGTGTCTAAGGAAACAAATCGCCTTTTTCTGTAAAAAAACCCATTGCAGTAATTCAGTACTGTTACAATCCAGCTAGTTTTGGTAGGAAAGAAGATGTCTAATCTATTGAGGCTCCACTGTATATATCAAAGGTCATTTCCTGAATTGGCTTATCGAGACCAAATCTTCTGAAATACTATTGTATGAATATTTGTAAGACTGTAAGGATTTTATGGCCTATATGTAACACACACATGTACTCTGTGTTTGTAGGTAACTGTAAGGATGTACCCTGTATTTTATGGCCTATATGTAACACACACATGTACTCTGTGTTTGTAGGTAACTGTAAGGATGTACCCTGTATTTTATGGCCTATATGTAACACACACATGTACTCTGTGTTTGTAGGTAACTGTAAGGATGTACCCTGTATTTTATGGCCTATATGTAACACACACATGTACTCTGTGTTTGTAGGTAACTGTAAGGATGTACCCTGTATTTTATGGCCTATATGTAACACACACATGTACTCTGTGTTTGTAGGTAACTGTAAGGATGTACCCTGTATTTTATGGCCTATATGTAACACACACATGTACTCTGTGTTTGTAGGTAACTGTAAGGATGTACCCTGTATTTTATGGCCTATATGTAACACACACATGTACTCTGTGTTTGTAGGTAACTACTATTCTATACGACAGCAGCATGAGAAGGCAGTGCTGTATTTCCAGAGGGCATTAAAACTCAACCCCCACTATTTGTCAGCCTGGACCCTCATGGGCCACGAGTTTATGGAACTGAAGAACACATCTGCTGCTCTACAGGCTTACAGACAGGCTATAGGTAAAAAATTAAAGTCAATTTATTTCAGTTTATTTTTGCATAATAATTCACATTTTTCAAGTGTTAATATTAAAGTTATGACATTACGAGACACACAGAGAACAACTTCCTATGTTCAGATGAATAAAAGATATGGCTCCCCTTGGGACCAGAAAGGTTGTGCCAATTAAAGGAAATGGGTCAGAAACATTTCTTACTTCGCCAATTTTGAATATAAAGAAAAAAAAATGCAAATGATCATCTCAAGACCAGCTATTTATAACTGATTTAAAATTCCAATACATGTATAGGTTCTTTGTATCTGTCCTCTGATTTTCTGATGTGTATTACATGTTTGGGGTTAATACAAAAATTATACATGTATAAAGCTGCTACATGAAGTTGATTTGTTCCTGTTTCGTGTTACATCAGAGGTTGAGCGGAGAGACTACCGGGCGTGGTATGGACTTGGACAAACCTACGAAATTCTCAAGATGCATTACTACTGTCTCTACTACTACCGACAGGCCCAGAAACTGAGGTGAGTCACCACTCTCGATAGACAAAGAAACTCCGGTGAGTCACCACTATTGATGAAGAAGCTCGAGTGAGTCACCACTTTTATGGCAGGTCTTGAAACTAGGCCAAGTCACCACATATACATATAGTTAGTTCATTATTTAAAAAGTCAATCATACTTTGACAATTCTTAAGGAACAAATCCAGAACGTTTGTGAAGTAATAAAAATTGGTCCTGACTAAAGAGACACTACTGTGCTGTGTGATTAAGGATAATGCATACCTCTTGTGGTTGTGGGTTAACCATTTTTTTCTACATTTATTTTCAGACCAAATGACTCACGGATGGTGATGGCCCTGGGAGAGACCTACGAGAAATTGGAGAGGTTACAGGAGGCAAAAAAATGTTTTTGGAAGGCAAACTGTATAGGTGACATGGAGGGCACTGCTCTCATCAAACTAGCCAGGTCAGTTATTTACACAGGCATACACCCGGTACATCAAGAGAACGCTGCCCTCATCAGGCAGAATAGTGCAAAACAGTGTACAAACCTTTGAGTATTTGTGAATACAAAAATGTCTATCTTACTATGAATTTCTCTGTTTTTGAATGTTGAAAATTTTGATTTTAATCATTAAATAGTTTGTATTGCCTTAAAATGGATAGGGATATGTGATGAGTTGATGTTATTTGACGAGATCTACAGTAGGCACTCGTGTCTTTGTCACAGACTACACGAGAAGCTACACGAGGAGGACCAGGCAGCTTCTGCCTACACAGATTATATCAACGAGGCCAGTCGACAAGGGGTGAGCAATCGTTCTCTGTGTTTATGTCACATCCAACTGTTTTCCTTACAAAGTACCCTTCCAGTTTTCATACGTACAGTTGAACCACAAGCCAGTACAGCCCACAGGGGAACTACTAAACTGTGTCAGTGATTTATGTGAAGACTGGCTGCAAAATTTTGTAAAAGTAATACCAACAAATGTTTTATGTTCTAAAATTATGTAAATTATGTAAACAGTTATTGACTTGTTAAAAACAAACTTGTGATTAAATCTGTTCCTTTTCACAATCAATTTGACTATATCATAATAAACTTTTTTTTTTTACTTTAAAGTTAAAGAAGGAAAAAATTGGTACATGGGAAAAATATTATAATATTAAGCGGTTTATCATAATGGATATCATAATAAGTGGGTACCACTAATGCTTGGATTTTAAGGAAACTTCATTTAAAAATTAAATCCTTTGTCAAAAACTATGAATATCTGTACATATTTACTTATAATTGTTGTTTTATTATTTTTGCTAGAACTACAACCCTGAAGACCAGAGTCAAGCCTACAAGTATCTAGCTAACTACCACCTAAAACTCGGACAACTGGACGAGGCGTTCACTGCTGCACAGAAGTGTTCTGAATTCCCGGAGGTCAGTAGTCATTGTCATCAGGATATTCTTATTCTTAAATATTCTTAAAACTATAGACTACATACTTTTTGGATGTATTTATTTTTGTATGAAATTCTTGCTAAGAATCCATTACAAATTCAAGTTTCATATGAATTGTTATATATATGTAAGACTTTCATATTGAATGAAACAAATGTATGTCCATAAGAATAGATATTGAAAAATCAGTTGTGATTTTAAGATGTACATGAAATGGAAGTAACATACAGTATATCTAGATTTTCTACTGTACAACAGGCATGCAAGAATTAATCAATGTTCAGTACAGCTATGACTATAAAGTCGGGGTAGATTTTATAGTTGTCAGTACGTGTAAGTTTCAATGTGAAGGCAATGTAACTATAGTTGGTACATGGGTACAGATTACAATTTGGCATTGAAGTTGAAAAGAAATACAAAGTGTGAAATGCTGAGTTTGTGATCATCAGATTCTTAGGGCTTAAGAGTTTGTTTAGTGTTAAATTGACATTTCATTTTGCTGCAACGGTCATAAGCATGTGTACAGAATAGAGTGGAATTATTTTACTTAAGTTGGTTTTCACTGTTCTCATTTGTTGCAATTAGTTCTGTAATAATTAATTAGGACAGTCATACAAGTTTAAGAGATGAAAATTGAATTATTGGAGCCAGTACAACCCAATGTATTTGTTTTGGCAGACCCGAGAGGAAGCAAAGGGTATACTTCGGGACATACAGAGTCTCCGCGCCCAGAAGGAGGGCCTGAGTACCCCCATTAGGATGGATGACAGTATGGGATCCATAACAACAGAGCGCTTCCATACCAATGATCATACACCGATTGGTCGTCTCTCTCCTGTCAACCTTAAGTTCACACCCTGACAACACTTACAACATCAAGCTCGGAGACCAACATTACACAACTTGTCAAAAGTATAACAAACAGAAAGTAATGAGGAAAAAATGTCATCAGAGAAATAAAATGACAGAGATGGAGTGAATCAGGCGAGGGTTTCTCCCGTCATTCTGAAGTTGACACCCTAACAAGTCTGGACAAGTTATTGCTCAGTATCCTTGTTAGATAAGCTAAAACAGAGTTTAAGCTGAGCAAGCCTGGCCCATAGCATGGAGCTAAAGATGAAACCATATCTTGAACACCTATACCTGATTTTGCAAATGTCTTACTTACCGCGGTAACTTAGGATATATGAACTGGAGTATAATAAGATTGGAAGTATGTCCCCAACTGCTAATTGCAAATTAAGTGATGCTATTTTGTCCTGCAGCAGTGATGCATTTCATTTTATCTTTGTTAGTGTATTATCATGTTAAAATAAAATGTACTTTAAAAGAGAATTTAGTCTTTTTCTGTTTAATTTTTCAACTAGGTAATTATTTTCAGTACATGTATAGTTTAGATTTCAATAGAATATTCATTCCAGGGCCCTTAGTAATACGTCCATTTTCAGTCTCATCAAGTTATATGCTTAAATCATCTTGCACAAGATTAAAAATGTAAACACTGAACACTATAATTAGTATAGTATATAGAGGATCTGTCATAAGTTTCCCTTCATATTAGATTTATGATAAACGTTTTGGATTTTTCATGTTTAGGAGCAAATATGAAAAGTCCAAAACGAGTATCATAAATCTAATATGAAGAGAAACCAATGAGATTCAATACAAAGTAAACTGTATAATTATGATCTGAAACGAATATTTTGCACTTGGCTCTCTCGGAAACGATGAAAATGGCATCCGCTTCACATTGATTGCGACGTCATTTCTGGATTGATATTACACACATTATATAAACATAATTTATGTGATTGCTTCATGACACTGCATAACACGGTATTCATATGATAAATCTATTTCTGGAATAGCCCAATTATAAAGATACAGGTCCAGGACTTGTTTTCGATGTGTTTGAGAACTGTTGGTAAACACAGATTCCATACAGCAGGAACACAATGACACATTGAACAATATTTGTCTAAAATGGATTGATGGACAGATTGATATGGACAGATTGATGGTGGACAGACTGATGGTGGACAGATTGATATGGACAGATTGATGGTGGACAGACTGATGGTGGACAGATTGATGGTGGACAGACTGATGGTGGACAGATTGATGGTGGACAGACTGATGGTGGACAGATTGATGGACAGACTGATGGTGGACAGATTGATGGTGGACAGATTGATGGACAGATTGATAGACAGATTGATGGTGGACAGACTGATGGACAGATTGATGGACAGATTGATGGTGGACAGATTGATGGACAGATTGGACAGATTGATAGACAGATTGATGGTGGACAGATTGATGGACAGATTGATATGGACAGATTCATATGGACAGATTGATGGACAGATTGATATGGACAGATTGATGGACAGATTGATATGGACAGATTCATATGGACAGATTGATGGACAGATTGATATGGACAGATTGATGGACAAATTGATATGGACAGATTGATGGACAGATTGATGGTGATAAGACCGAGTCCTTTTAAAGTTGTACTAGTTCAGTGCACTAATCACTATCATCAGGTGTTTCACTTGTCTGATAAGTTTTCACCTGTGATAAATTCTGAACAAGATTTTAAAGGGACATTCATGTAACATTAAAATAAACCTCACATTTTATTCCATTCTGTCAATTATGCATCCTTGTATCTGTTTCCAGTTTTCCGGTGTTTAATACATCAATATCCAGCTTAGAAAAAGCAAAATCACAAAATGTTCCTTCTTAGTTTTGTAAATAGTGTTGCTCTGAATTGATGCAAGGTGACAAAGTGCACATTTTGGTTCATCTATCCATTTAAGATTACCATCAAAAACTTGTTTGTTTGAATGTCCCTGTAAATGTATCATTCTGGTTCTACTACATATATACATATCGCACCAGCACTGTAACACGTAGACTAACTATACTTCTGTGAAAATTACAAGCACAAGACATTGTCATGTTGAAATACAGTTTTATTTTGTTTAATGCTGAAATATACATGTTATACTTGATACCTGTAGCCATTATATATAATTATAGACCTACCTGTATCATGTTACATTGGTTACGCTACCCATAAACCACTCACTTCTTACAGGAACTACACCACCACACACACCTAAACATATACGTGATTAAGGCAAAGTTGTGTTTGCAATTAAAATCTTCTATAAAACCTATTGATACAATATTACTAGCTCAAAGTAAGTTACATCTATTCACCTATGGCAAGATAATAGTTTTATCCATAAATATAGACCTAGCTATAATGCTAGTTATAGTAAGTTTGTAAGTTTATAATATATTAACACTAAGTCAGAAGACAACTAACGTAATCATTTGTTTCTCTCTAAATCTCAACTCTGTATACATATTACAAGACAACTAACGTAATCATTTGTTTCTCTCTAAATCTCAACTCTGTATACATATTACAAGACAACTAACGTAATCATTTGTTTCTCTCTAAATCTCAACTCTGTATACATATTACAAGACAACTAACGTAATCATTTGTTTCTCTCTAAATCTCAACTCTGTATACATATTACAAGACAACTAACGTAATCATTTGTTTCTCTCTAAATCTCAACTCTGTATACATATTACAAGACAACTAACGTAATCATTTGTTTCTCTCTAAATCTCAACTCTGTATACATATTACAAGAGAATATTTACTTCAAATAGTTATAGATCCTGAGTTGAAGTTATAAAACTTAACAAACACCTATTAGAGGAAATCATACGGTACATACAACTGTACCCATGCTGTATACAGGGTAATGAGAAATCCTCCATGTTACATGTATGGTATGGTAACCATATATTGTATACAGGGTTATTTGGCAACATTGTCATTTCACAGTAAAGTAAATTAATTGTGACAGTGAATGATTCTACTGACTTTAATAATACTACCGGTACATACTTCTAGCTATCTCCAGAAATTATTATTCAGCACTGCACGAAATTGATATAGTATATATTTTCCCAAAAATAACACTATGAAATCAATTATGACAGTTCTCTATAGCAGAAAACCATGATCTTCCATATATTTGTTGAATAAGTTAAATGTGATACAAACGAATGTATGTATTTCTCTTTAAACAAAGGATTCATCTTCATGTAAAAATTTGTATCGAAGAACCCAGTACCTGTTTCTGTTGAGATACACATGGTCACACATAGCCCTGAGTAGCCCTGTTATAGTGGAACACACCAGAATTCCACCCACCCACAGTTGTGACAGGGCTAAACGATTTCAAATCTCTGTACAATGATAACACTTTTATCTCAGATCTGTATATAAAAAGTCACCAAAAGGATACTTTCAGATCTACAGTAAAACGTTATAATGTCACCATTTTAAAGGGAAAATTGTTGCCATTACCTAGTAAAAGGGGTTTGGCAACTTTATGAAGAATATACAATATTGAAGATTCTTGTTGCTGGAGCACTATAAATACTGATAAAAATCTTCACCAGTTTAATACAGCCTTTTCAATTCTGATTACCATGTACAATATCATTATTTTGACATAATAAATAATGTATCCTCGAAGGCTAAGTATATCTACATATCACAGAAGCTTAATGTCAGAGACAACCTGGTCAATATATTTACATACAGAATATATATGACTTTTACCAGAAATTTTCCACACAAATCGGCATCAACCTTAAACTGTTCTTCCAACTTGCGTTTTCTAGAGTGGCTTGGTATATGGCACATTTAAAATTTTATTAACCTCTTTGAGAATTATGCATGATTTTTTCAAATTTTAATTGCTAGTAACTGTTTGGTGCAAAGATCTTGGAAAACTTATTTCATTTGAAGTCACTGTTTAAAAATAAATATGCTGCTGTCTTTAAAAAAAAAATCAAAAAGATCATGAAAATGTTGCAAGAAAAAATACCATCATATGTGCCACGAAGGTAATGCCATTATATTCAGCAAACTTGGTGCTACACTAAGTATAAATTAACTAAATTGTCCATGATTTCAAGGAAACCATTTTCTACATCAGTTCACAGAAGAGGTTATCTTGCTTGGTCAGAATTCTTTAAAGTATTCCTCTGGATTTTCTGCAGAAAGAACACAAAAACTTCAATATTAGAAACAAATTTAGAGTTTAGCACAACCAATAAATACAGACTTTTTTTTATAATTTCCAGGACATATTATAGACTTTGTATTTATACCCATTTTTTTAAAGACACAGCATGAGGTTGTGCAACTACATTTTGTTAAAAAAAACCTGCAAAAAAACACTAAATAATTTTAACATACTTTGTTCACATTTTCTCATGATAGGTTCTGTTTGTTTGGTAATGTGACAAAGACAATATTTCACGACAGGTTCTATCAGTTTGACTAACTAACACAAATGGTCCCATGACAGGTTCTATCAGTTTGGCTATAACTAACACAAATGGTCTCATGACAGGTTCTATCAGTTTGGCTAACTAATACAAATGGTCCCATGACAGGTTCTATCAGTTTGGGACAGGTTCTATCAGTTTAGCTAACTAACACAAATGGTCCCATGACCGGTTCTATCAGTGTGGCTATAACTAACACAAATGGTCTCATGACAGGTTCTATCAGTTTGACTAACTAACACAAATGGTCCCATGACAGGTTCTGTCAGTTTAGCTAACTAACACAAATGGTCCCATGACCGGTTCTATCAGTGTGGCTATAACTAACACAAATGGTCTCATGACAGGTTCTATACAGGTTCTATCAGTTTGGCTAACTAACACAAATGGTCCCATAACAGGTTCTGTCAGTTTGGCTAACTAACACAAATGGTCCCATGACCGGTTCTATCAGTGTGGCTATAACTAACACAAATGGTCCCATGCAGGTTCTATCAGTTTGACTAACTAACACAAATGGTCCCATGACAGGTTCTGTCAGTTTAGCTAACTAACGCAAATGGTCCCATGACAGGTTCTATCAGTTTGGCTATAACTAACACAAATGGTCTCATGACAGGTTCTATACAGGTTCTATCAGTTTGGCTAACTAACACAAATGGTTCCATGACAGGTTCTATCAGTTTGGCTAACTAACACAAAAGGTCCCATGACAGGTTCTATCAGTTTGGCTAACCAACACAAATGGTCCCATGACAGGTTCTATCAGTGTGGCTATAACTAACACAAATGGTCCCATGCAGGTTCTATCAGTTTGACTAACTAACACAAATGGTCCCATGACAGGTTCTGTCAGTTTAGCTAACTAACGCAAATGGTCCCATGACAGGTTCTATCAGTTTGGATAACTAACACAAATGGTCCCATGACAGGTTCTATCAGTTGGCCTAACTAACACAAATGGTCCCATGACAGGTTCTGTCAGTTTAGCTAACTAACGCAAATGGTCCCATGACAGGTTCTATCAGTTTGGCTATAACTAACACAAATGGTCTCATGACAGGTTCTATACAGGTTCTATCAGTTTGGCTAACTAACACAAAAGGTCCCATGACAGGTTCTATCAGTTTGGCTAACCAACACAAATGGTCCCATGACAGGTTCTATCAGTTTGACTAACTAACACAAATGGTCCCATGACAGGTTCTGTCAGTTTAGCTAACTAACGCAAATGGTCCCATGACAGGTTCTGTCAGTTTGGCTAACTAACACAAATGGTCCCATGACAGGTTCTGTCAGTTTAGCTAACTAACGCAAATGGTCCCATGACAGGTTCTATCAGTTTGGCTAACCAACACAAATGGTCCCATGACAGGTTCTATCAGTTGGCCTAACTAACACAAATGGTCCCATGACAGGTTCTGTCAGTTTAGCTAACTAACGCAAATGGTCCCATGACAGGTTCTATCAGTTTGGGACAGGTTCTATCAGTTTAGCTAACTAACACAAATGGTCTCATGACAGGTTCTATCAGTTTGGCTAACTAATACAAATGGTCCCATGACAGGTTCTATCAGTTTGACTAACTAAAACAAATGGTCTCATGACAGGTGCTATCAGTTTGGCTATAACTAAAACAAATGGTCCCATGACAGGTTCTATCAGTTTGACTAATTAAAACAAATGGTCTCATGACAGGTTCTATCAGTTTGGCTAACTAATACAAATGGTCCCATGACAGGTTCTATCAGTTTAGCTTACTAACACAAATGGTCCCATGACAGGTTCTATCAGTTTAGCTTACTAACACAAATGGTCCCATGACAGGTTCTATCAGTTTGACTACCTAAAACAAATGGTCTCATGACAGGTTCTATCAGTTTGACTATAACTAAAACAAATGGTCCCATGACAGGTTCTATCAGTTTGACTAACTAAAACAAATGGTCTTATGACAGGTTCTATCAGTTTGGCTATAACTAAAACAAATGGTCCCATGTCAGGTTCTATCAGTTTGGCTAACTAACACAAATGGTTCCATGACAGGTTCTATCAGTTTGGCTAACTAACCCAAATGGTCTCATGGCAGGTTCTATCAGTTTGGCTAACTAACACAAATGGTCCCACGACAGTTTCTATCAGTTTAGCTAACTAACACAAATGGTCCCATGACCGGTTCTATCAGTGTGGCTATAACTAACACAAATGGTCCCATGCAGGTTCTATCAGTTTGACTAACTAACACAAATGGTCTCATGACAGGTTCTATCAGTTTGGCTAACTAATACAAATGGTCCCATGACAGGTTCTATCAGTTTGACTAATTAAAACAAATGGTCTCATGACAGGTTCTATCAGTTTGGCTAACTAATACAAATGGTCCCATGACAGGTTCTATCAGTTTGACTAACTAAAACAAATGGTCTTATGACAGGTTCTATCAGTTTGGCTATAACTAACACAAATGGTCTCATGACAGGTTCTATACAGGTTCTATCAGTTTGGCTAACTAACACAAAAGGTCCCATGACAGGTTCTATCAGTTTGGCTAACCAACACAAATGGTCCCATGACAGGTTCTATCAGTTTGGCTATAACTAACACAAATGGTCCCATGACAGGTTCTATCAGTTTGACTAACTAAAACAAATGGTCTCATGACAGGTTCTATCAGTTTGGCTATAACTAAAACAAATGGTCCCATGACAGGTTCTATCAGTTTGGCTAACTAAAACAAATGGTCTCATGACAGGTTCTATCAGTTTGGATAACTAACACAAATGGTCTCATCACAGGTTCTGTCAGTTTGGCTATAACTAACACAAATGGTCTCATGACCGGTTCTATCAGTGTGGCTAACTAACACAAATGGTACCATGACAGGTTCTATAAGTGTGGCTATAACTAACACAAATGGTCTCATGGCAGGTTCTATCAGTTTGGCTAACCAACACAAATGGTCCCATGACAGGTTCTATAAGTTTGACTAACTAAAACAAATGGTCTTATGACAGGTTCTATCAGTTTGACTAACTAACACAAATGGTCTCATTACAGGTTCTATCAGTTTGGCTAACTAAAACAAATGGTCCCATGACAGGTTCTATCAGTTTGACTAACTAAAACAAATGGTCTTATGACAGGTTCTATCAGTTTGACTATAACTAAAACAAATGGTCCCATGACAGGTTCTATCCGTGTGGCTATAACTAACACAAATGGTCTCATGGCAGGTTCTATAAGTTTGGCTAACTAACACAAATTGTCTCATGACAGGTTCTATCAGTGTGGCTAAAACTAATACAAATGGTCCCATGACAGGTTTTATCACTGTGGCTAAAACTAACACAAATGCTCCCATGACAGGTTCTATCAGTTTAGCTAACTAACACAAATGGTCTCATGACAGGTTCTGTCTGCTTAGTACTATGCAGAAGCAATATGAAATTATAAAACTGATCAGTAAAACTGTTTCAAAGCTATCAACAATTTAAGTATGTCTTACCCTATTGAAGACTCGTGCTCGGAGGCGATTCAGTGAATAATCCTCGTCTCGTTTCTTTACATATTTCATGGCCTGAACTTCAGGCAGTTTCTTGTACAATCTGGGACAAAAATGTATAAATACCAGTATCATGATGGATGCTTTCAGAAATTTTGTGACAATAAAATATTTGTAGAGGAACCTGACAGCCTATTATATTCAAGTGTAAATATCATAAACAGCTTAATTTACTTTAAAATATTGAAGTAAGTCATTTAAACAGGAGACCCACAGGGAACTTTACTTTTACAACATGTCTTTCAATACTTCTGAAAAGTTTTTTTGCTTGTGCAAAGCCAGACATGAAACAATTTGAACTAAAACAGCAATATATGAACAACATGCTTGTTTTTACACTACCGGTAAAGAGATAAGTACATACATGTATTTGCAGTGACATCAATAGAAAAAACCCACGTTATGACATGAATACTGATTTTAAGTGAAACCATTCAATTATGAGTTTCATAACACGAACAGATCATTGACGTGCATCATTACTGTGTGAATTTGGCACTGGTAGATAAGTAGTGAGGATCAGTCTTAATTCATTAGACCGATACATGTATGGTTAATATCTTCTACATACCTGACCACACTCAATATTTACACTTGATGTGTTAAAAACAAAATTTAGTCAACCAACCAACCTGTTAGTGAGGTCTTTCATTTCCCGTTTTGACATTGATCGCCTTTTTGGCTTGTGCAGATTTTCTGGAAAAAGAAAAAAACGCAATGCTAAAAGAAATAAGTACATCACAAGATAAAAAAATCGGTAATATTGTGTATTACATCAAATGGAAAGATCGCTACAGATTAGAGACACCTAAGAGCAGTTTTTCTCTCGGGCCATGTACCCATATTTATCTAGCAACAAGCCCATGCTTAGTAATAAGCCCACCAGTATATATTTAGGAAGAAATGCCAACAAAAGCCTATTCATTGTCCTGAAATAAGCCCATCCCCCTACTTTCAGTCAGAGATTATGGCTACATTCGCATATCCCAGTTGAAACGGTATGTGTGGCGCAGAAATACTCCACGATAAACAAACATATTGTAGGTTAACATTATTGAGGTTAGGTTTAAACATGTGAGTATGATAATCATGCTGTTGAGACATAATGTATAGCTTGTAACTTGAAGAAGAAGAAAAACCCACCTATAGCTCATTGATTATCCGTAAATATGCAAAAATCACATCGGTTGGCAAACTCAGCATGAGTTGGATGTGCATAAGGAATTTGGTTGAAACATCTTAACAATATCTACAGCAATTATCACACGAAAACCAAAGAGTGGCCGAGATGAATGGAAAGACAGATGAACACAAACATTGTTATCAAGTTTGAAGGAATTTTGCTAATATTTGCTAGAGTTATTAAGCGGAAACTGCAGATAATAACGTTTTTCGTAAATCAAGGGGATAAACAAGGGGCCATAACTCTGCCGTGCGTTGAACCCTGTTACTAAATCGAAGACAATTGGATAATATTTGTGAGAGTTAATGAACAGAAACGGCAGATAATGATGTTTTTCGTTATTCAAGGGGCCATAACTCAGGCAAATGCGGTGCCGCTGAAAATGGTCTACGAACATGGCCGAGCCCTTAACCCTGTGACCAAGTTTGAAGAAAATCGGTTAACATTTGTTGTAGTTATTGCACGGTGACGAAGACAGACAGACAGACCAAAATTAATGTCTCCTGTTTCGGTAAAAGCGGGGGATAAAAATGCACAATTTCGAAGAATAAAAAACAATGTATCATGAATATTATGCCCTTCTTTTACGCGTCCACTGAATTACTTAATGTATCTTAAATACTACATGTGGCTTGACATTGTTTTAGAAAGAAATAACGCAAACTAGCAATATTCAGCATTTTAGTTTCGGTCAGGTAAGTCTGGACCCCTCAATCTACATGTGCCAAATTTTCCTGAGGTCAGCCTCGGTCCAGATCTGTGCCTGTTGTTTTCTTTACAGGTTCAACCGCTTCATCCAGATATGCGAATATGGCTTCCCCACGAATGTTCCCTGTGTTGGCCCCCTGGGCTTATTTCAGGATAAATATGGTAATTAATTAGACTAAGAGCAGTTCTTTCCCTCGAGCCTAATCATCAAAATAATCGAACTAGCTAATTCTCTATCTCATACAATATATAAAATATATAAACAGTCTATGATGAATTTTGAAGGCATGGCTATTCAACATGGTATGTCAGAGTGTTGGACTTCTTTATCCATTCTCACTACAACTTCATGACATTTTACTATCTTTTTACCATATCTTGTCTTATAGCAACATTAAGTATGCATTATTTAGTAAAACTGAAACATCAGCTGATTATAAAAGATGATGTCATTTGTAGGAGAAGACTAATATAGACTAAGCCTGTTGTCTCATCCAATTGTTCAATTTTTTTTGTCGAATAGAACTTGTTGAAACGAATGTCATTTGACTGATTTCATTGTGATATTATAACTCTAACCACATCCATGCAGGAAATACCTATATAACACCAGGCATGACTATTGCCTTCAGCTGGAGAGTTCTACACCCCAACAGGTGTCGGAGAGTTACACGCAACATAGCAGGGATACGTCCATGAGTTGTGGACTTACCACTGTAGGGATGTGCTTCGGGGTTGGACTCCTTCTTGTTGCCCTGGTTGTTGAACAGCTCCTTCCTCTCCTGTTCTAGGTATTGTTGCAGCTGACGTTCATGTGCTGCCAACTGGACTCGCTTCTGACGTTCACCTACCCGAGATATTGTGTTCTGCTTGAAATTCTTGAAAGCTTCCTGCAATAAAATGTTGGGGTATTGTTTTATTGTTTTCATGTGCTTAAAATTACTGTCTAGGTAATGTGCTTCTGCATAATCTGAATTGATTTGATTTTTTTTTAATTTTTGACTGATGAAGGTTTGGTTTGGGTTTTTTGTGTTTTACGTCCTATTAACAGCTATAGTTATTTAAGAACGTGCCAGGTTTTGGTGGTGGTGGAGGAAAGCTATCGACCTGGGGCCAATACCTGGCAACTGCCCCACGTAGGCCTCGGACCCGCGACCCAGTGGTGGAGGACTAGTGGTAGCAGAATGTCAGACGCCTTAACGACTTGGCCACCGCGACCCTGACATACCTTACTAGTCACACATAAACACCTAGTTGTGTGCCATGAACCTTTCTACAATCCATAATCTAAATCCTTTAAATAATTATTATACAAACCTGCAAAGACATTTTAGTTAAAGGCTTTGAATCATAATTTTCTTCATCAGAGCTGTTGGCATCCATATTTCTATCTCCTATCCGATGACCTTTTGTGTCAAGGTCAAACTTTGTATCACGTGATTTATTGAGGATGTCACTACCAACGACAGCCTTCCAGTCTGCAGGATGCATAGATTTGGGTTGCCATGGTTTCTGTTTTACAGCATGCGCCTGCTGTTCCTTAAGAGGCTGCCTCCAAGGTCGAGATTCAGGCAAAGGAATATACCAGGATACACCCCCTGAAACATTAAACACGTTATAAATACACATAGTAAATTAATATTGGAGGCTTCAGCTTATAGAACAATCGTCATGCTTTTCTTTATTTATTTTTTGTATTTACTACCAGGAAATCTTCACCCAGTGTAATATTTGCCCTTCACTAGTAAAACCCATATTCGCCCAGTCTTAAATTTCGCGCTTCACTTGTCATAACTATATACATAAACTGTGTACTTACATTCATTATCATGATCAATTTACTCTTTAATATCATGGAGGGCAATAAAGACAAAATTTAAACTGTGGTGAAAATTTCCCTGTATACAGTATATATTTCAATCTTGCTTTTCAACCAATTAATGAAAAATTATCATTAAAATATGCAAGTTTGGTTGTTTTTTTATTTGATATGAAATTAAGCACTTATTCTGTATTAAAGGATATGATAAAAGCAACAGATCTTTCCATTGACTTGCTTTATACCTGTAAGGAAATATCAATTTAACAAATCATAGCTTACTCTCTGGGCTATCCTGAAGTTTGGCAATGCAGGTATCCTCTGGAGTTTCTGGAGTAAACATCCGAGACTTTGGCGGTGGGACGGCCTTAGACAAGTATCCATAATCAATGTCCGTCTTAAGCACAGGTGACCTCGGCTTTCTTTTGACCTCCTTCACAGTTGATCTATCTGGTGACATACTTATCTCAAATGATGTTGTCCTGCTTTTTTCAAGTGACTTTGACCTTGACCTTGACCTTAGAGGTGAAACTGAGATATGAGCTGATCTTTGCCTTGCTGGAGAGCGGGAACTTGACCTAGTGGGAGAGGTTGAGATATGTTTGCGTCTTCTCTCTGGTGACATGAGAGGTACAGGGATAACGCCTCGGTCATTGTGGGAGGGGACATAAGGACTCGTCTGCACAGCCTCTGATACCATTGTGACCCTCCCAGATTTCTTGCTGCGTTGCCGTGGCGGACTGACATGAATGGGAGATGGATACATTGTCGACACAGACTTGTGCTTTCGAGATGAGGGAGACCTCAACTTCCTTGGCTTTTCAAACTCTTCACCATATATATCATCATCCTCCATCTGTGCTAAAAACCTCTCTACGTTTTCTTTATTTCTGAGGCTGATTTTCGGTTCCTGGTAGATATCAGCAGTCTTCCCTTTCTTTCCTTTTTTCTTTCCTCTTTTCTCACTGCTGAAATGTTCTTCTCTCTGCTTGGCTGAGAATGGACGATGAAAAATACTGTCTTCGTTTTGTGATTCTGAATCAGCCTGCATACCTGTAGTTTGTGTGGGGGCCCTATTCTGTTTTAAGATTCTCCCTTGTGCTAGGACCCTGCCCTTTTCCTGAAATGAAACTTGTCTACTTCTGTTTGGCAGTTGGCGGTGTACATCTATGCTGCTGTCTTTAGATGAAGTTGTATCCACAGCAGCAATATTGGAATCTGCCTGCGAGGTTAATGTGGAGTCTGTATCTAAAAGAGTGGATGAATCTGTCATTGATACAGAGGTTGTTAATGACACCAAGTCAAGTTCTACCCCAATGGCCTTGTCTGAAAGTTTACCCTTCTGTTTAGCACTGAGTAACATTTCTAATTTCTTGAGCTTGTCCATCCTTCGCATCTCTTTCTTTCTCTCTTTGTCGATCTTATCCCTCTGGTGGCGAACCTTGTCATGAAGCTTTACCATAAGTGGATCAATGACGTGTCGCCGCCGGTTACGCTTGGCCTTTAACATCAGCTCCGAGTCATTCAATGCACTTGGTGATATGGTTTCCAAGGTTGTGTCCTCTGGTATAGAATAAAGAGTATCTGCACTGTCTCCCAGCTTCTGGACTCCAGCTGGATTTGCTTCTTTGTTTTTATTTTTATTTTCCTTGTTTTTCTTTTCTTTTTCTGCTCGTTTCTTCTTTTCCTGATGGGCCAGGATTTCAGCATAACTCCCATTGCTTTCGTCATCCCCACTTAACCTTTTCCTATACTCTGCCTCTCGTCTAAGTCTATCAGCCTCTTTTCGCTGCCTTGATGATTTTTCCTGTTTCTGAGATGTTTCCCCTTTATCTCCTTCCTCGTTCATTGTGGTAATCTCTTTCATCAGCCGATTCTCTTTGGCCCGTTCGTATGTAACATCGTCCACGTACTTCTGGACAACATGCTTGGTGGGGTTCTCTATCAGACTGGTAAGTGTATCCATCCGAGGTGTGTTCATACTGCTCTCGCTGGCATTGCTGCGATCTACGTCCTTGAACCTCTGCCACATGTCGTTGATGTTTGGGTGAACAGAACCACGGTACTCCTTCTCTAGACTCTCACGGAGGATGACAACACGCTTGCTAGGGGGCCTCTTGTCAAACTCTTCATCATAATCACTTTCGTCATCCACAAGGGGGACAAATTTGTGTTGAGACCTACAAATGAAAAGGAGACTTTTATTTCAGTTATGTATAATACTACAACAGCGGACAAATTTTGGCAAATATATCTATAACAACCCATACCTCATTTATCTACTAACTACTCTCAACCTGTGAGGTCTCAACAACCTTGTTACCAATTCTGACACCTTAACAAACATATTAGTGACCCCTGACCTCTGAATAACCTTGAAACCAATAACTGACCCATAAACAACCCTATTACCATTAACTGACCCCTGACCTCTAAACAACCCTGCAACCAATGACAGGCTTCTGAACCCTTAATAACCCTGTTATTATTAAATGACCTCTGACCTTCAAACAATCATTAACTGACCTTGCTTTCATCTCCAGGTCTCTGATCAGTTTGTCACGCTTCTCCTTCAGTAGTTTCTCTTTCTCTTCATTTATAGCATCCTCAAAGTCAGAGTCAGGGAGCTGTGGCAGGGAAAAAAACAATGTAAAACAGTGCACTAGAGGAAGTCTTAAAATTAAAGAATTCCATCATTTTGTAAAATGTATACAAATATTTTACCTTGATACTTTCATCTTTTATCAATAAATGCATCATTAAGTCTTTCTTTCAACAACTAGATTCAGTCTAACTATATATACAAAGCACTTCAGTTTCTGTGTAACCTTCTCCCATTTCAAGATCACACAAATACTTCATACAGAGACAACAGCAATCTATACACAGGAACAGTTTTAGGACAACACTTTGGGCAACTTTCCCGTTATAAGACTTTGATCATTAATCCTTGACTTATATAAGTAGCTGGTAATCACCTGCTCTAGCTCCTTGAACTGCCCATCTCCCTCTAGGTCCATGTATGGAGCCCCTCGTGAGTTGCCACGGTCTGAATTCCTACCCCTCACCGGTGAGAAGTCCCGTCCTGGCTCCAGGGGTCGGGCTATTATCTCCGCCCCTGGTTGCAGTGGTATCTGCACACCTGGCTCAAGTGGGTAGTCAGCACTTGGACTGTAGCCTGCGTCCAATGGCTGTCCGGTTTTGTCACAATAAGTGGCTGTAACGTCAACCCTGCCATTAATCTGAGGCTGGTCCTTCTTTGGATTTGCCCAGGATGGGCTCATGAGGCGCTGGCGCTCAGCTTGTGTGACATATTCTATTGGTGGATTATTTCCTCTTGTCCTGTAACTGTCCTTAGGAACCTCATCACCTCCATCACCTGTAGTTAATCGTCCAGTCTCCCTCAAATTTTGGTAGATCTCCCTATCTGACACAGAGCGATATGCATCCTGTCCCGCTGACCGACCTTGGTAGATGTCCCTAGCCTCAAGTTCCCTATGGGTCTCTCCTGGATCAAGTGATCTTGACCTCAACCTTGGATTGTAATCAATTTGTTTGTCCAAACGATCTATTTTTCCTTGATCTATCAAGTCTCGTCCTTTCTCCAAAGGTCGTTGTCTGAGCCTCTCTTCCGTGTACCTTGCCATGTGATCCAGAGCTTGCCCCTGCTTGGGGCTTCCCCTACCACCAGCAATGGCTGGGGAATCCATTGTTGTATGATGGGAAAAGATCGGGGAAGGTTGGCATGATAAGTCCATTAATCTAGTATTGTGAACAGGTGAAGAATTCCTGTGACTCTCTGGGCTGATGGAAATGAGATCCGTCTCTGACTTTGACCTTGACCTTGTGGCCCCAACAGGGTCCTGTAGGTAATAGTTTCGTCCCTCAGAGTGCCGGTCTAGTGGATAGACAGACAAGTCACTTTCAAGGCCTGGGTGAGGAGTGAAGATGTCACCAGGGTCAGACCTTGTAGTAACTGACAGTGGGTCGTCTTTATTCTCCATACCACTGACAATCCTTTCCTTTGATCGCACCTCTGCAGAGGTCAGTTCTGACCGCTCTGACCCGACGCTCCTGTACCTATGATTGTAGGTACCTGCATCACCTGTCATTCTGTCCCCAAGAACATCATCACCAGGCAACAGACGTTCATCCCTACGTTGACTTTCTGAGGCAAGTCTGGAGGGATTATAACTCCTCCGATATTCTTTGTCTTTTAAGGGTAGATCACTCCGTGAGCGCAAGTCTGCAGAAGCTGGTTTAGAGCTATTGCGTGGACCAAGCTCATCCTGGTCACTGTCCTGTCTCCCAGGACGACCTGAAAGAAGGTCAAGGCCACTGTCTGGATGCCGTTCTGTTGATGCAGTGTTCTCTCCTCCCCTTGAGCTGCCAGAATGCATGGAGCGCCTGTCTAGGCCACTGTCTGTCCCAGACTTTTCCCGGTCGTCCTGTCAACACACAATGAACCATCAAACATGTCAGAGTGTCATTAACTCTGCTAACATAATCTTACTAATTAGGTTGGAATACCCGTGAAAACTAATATTTTATAGTCAGTTTGACATAAGCATACTTGTACATGTATATTCCGTCTTTGCGTATTGCAGAGTTATCTTCTCTTGAGAGCAGGTATTGATTGTTACATCATTGGTTCGTGTGAAAAAATTACGTCGTTTTCTCAAAAATTGAAGACGTTACTCTCACGAACAAATGACGAAACAATCAATACCTGCTCTCAAGAGAAGATAACTCTGCAATACGCAAAGACGGAATACGTCCTGCAGTTGATGTGTCGTCACACTATTCCTTGTACATGCAAAATAACATCTTGCACTGCTGATTACGACTTTGTTTGGTTGTCATAATCAGATGTTTCGTGACAATGTCAGGATTGACAAATTTGTTTGTAACTGTAACGTTCTTGGGGTACATGTTCAAATGAAACAGGGAAAAAATAAAGATAATTTTCTTGACTTTCTACAATGCAAATTGATCACTTACAGCCATGGATTTTTCTTCAATTGTGGAGAGTCCCTCTGATGACGGTCGATGACTACTGTAAACTCCACCATTCTTTGGTCCGTCTGGCCTAGATCCCAGGTAGTGGGGAGGGAATGACGGTGCAGCTGCGTCATCAGAACCTACAACATGGACAAGATTAATACTTAGCCCATTGAGTAATAATACCAGCTGATCCATACACACTTTATACGGTATTTAACAGTACTACAAGTGATAAAGGCTAACTTTGTTCTGAACACAAACAGTAATTGAAAACTTCTTTTGCAAGCTTTCGAAAACATCCATTTCCTTTGTCAGGCAAAGAGTGTAAATGACCGCCCTCTCGACTCTAAACGGCTGAAAACGACTCATTAAGCCACATTGTGCCGAATCAGTCAAGTCAGCTGTCAAAAATCATAGAGACATTTCGCCAAATAGCACTCACATACTGCTTACTTCGAGTACTTCAAGTTCTTTTAAACACTGTAACCATTATAGCCCCATATCAATTTGAAGCGAATAAGCAAAACTTATTACAATTTCAATGAGATACCTATATTGTGATCATATACAACAAGTTCATTTAAGGTAAAGGTTACCATCAAGTAAAACTATCTTCTTACATTGTCACTATTTATTGTTATATATTTGACAAAAATTGTTTTTAAAAGCAAAAGTTATCAAGCATTTTACTCAATTATTGTTGTTTGGAATTTGAATTATTGTTTGAAAATTAAAATTAAAAAACAAAAACAGAAAAATTGCATCTTTTTGCGATTATAACTGATACACTGGTACCCTTTACCTCAAAGGAAATACACAAGTACATTGTATATATGTATACATTTAAGTTCTGCAATAAAACTTACGCATGTACTAGAGAATAGTTTATTCAATCTATCAAACAAATTAATTCATTAGGTTATACAAAAGCTGCTGAACAGACATTAAAAGTTAAAGATAGCAAACACTAAGAAGAATTCAAAGCCATCAAACTGATTACTGTTATATCTTACACTGTGTTAAACTGATTACTGTTATATCTTACACTGTGTTAAACTGATTACTGTTATATCTTACACTGTGTTAAACTGATTACTGTTATATCTTACACTGTGTTAAACTGATTACTGTTATATCTTACACTGTGTTAAACTGATTACTGTTATATCTTACACTGTGTTAAACTGATTACTGTTATATCTTACACTGTGTTAAACTGATTACTGTTATATCTTACACTGTGTTAAACTGAAAGTTTGGTAAATGTTTTCGCTGAAACAAAAAACAAAAAAACAAAAATGGTAGTATGCAAAGGATCATAAAAACAATCTAAAATGATTGTGATACCTTTCCATATGCTGGTTTTAGAAGCATGCATTCAGTACATATAATATACACAGGTCTTCTACGGTTAAACACTAGTATATACACAAACAGGGCCTACTCAGTTAAACACACACTAAAATACATGAACAGGGCCTTTTCTGAAGAATTAGTACAGCTGAGCCAATTAGATATTCATGAGCAGACATCTGTCAAGGAGGTTTCAGGACATTGTACACTATTGATATTGATCAGTTCTCAGCTCCACCATTCCTACTCGGTATAGCCATTCTGACATATGTAACAACAGATGGAATAAGTAAAGGTTATTGCATGGTTTTCGAGTAACAAGGGATTTATTACACCCGAGCGAAGCGAGGGTGTAATAAGTCCCGAGTGACGAGAAATCATGCAATAACTGGTTTACTGCATGCTTCCCAACTCGAACAAAACAGAAAAATTGAGTAAAAAATGTTCACCTGGACAATCTTTTTACCTACCCTATACTGCAGATAATTTACATGTACCTGCGTTAGTGAGTACTAATCAGAACCAGGTAAGTTTGTCTTTATTCTCAATAGCCCAGTCTGAGTGTATCCTTCATAATGGATACAAGTGTTTTTGGGTTACTATCCACCTCCAGTGTCAGGGAAGGTAAGGAGTGTCTGTTCAACAATTACAACAAAATAAGGGAAACAATGTTGAATTTCTGACTACATTTTCAGTTTAATTTTCAAGATGTGGCAAAGGTACAGGATATTGAAACCATTTTCATATATACAATGTAAGGGTTTATCAATCCCTAAGGAATTCCAGTTCTTTCAATGAATGGTATATTTGAATGAGCTATTTTGTATAAAGAAACAACTCCTAAAGAATATAAACTTTTCCAGGAAATGCTTATCCTCTCACGTGATAAGGAAATCAATAACGCTGCCAACTCAGTAACTCATTGTTTGTTTTTCAATCATGAAATTACCATTTTTAACTTATTTATTTTCTTCTTATTTTAAATGTGTCAACTAAGTTTATCTTTACCACTGTATTGACTTCATCGTTACTCACTGATTGATTATCTCCCCTTTCTTGCAGCATTTGTGACCACAGTCCACTGGGCACACACCCTTTCATGGTCATGTAATCATGATTGGCCATGAAAGGGAATTATGTGTGCAGTGGACTGTGGTAGCAAGTAATTTATTGCCCACAGTTTTCCATTGTGACAGGTGGGAAGCATGCAGTAAATTGAACTCACACACACACACATAAATATACCTGGTAAATATACAGTATATTAAATAAACCTCAAGCAAAAGTAATAAGTCAAAATCTGATATGTCTGAATTTAACTATGTTGATAAATATACACTGTACAGAAAGTATTATGTATTACTGAAATTATACTGAAAAACAGAGTGTGCAACAATTGGGATTTTTTGTGTGTACAATATTGAATACAAAAGGTTTTTTTGTGAAATTATACATGAAAACATCTTTTGATAACCATTATAAAGCCAAGGATTTCAACTACAACTAGAGATTCTTTATACAAAATGTCTCCCCTTTAACGGTTTAAAAGTTACAGCCCAGACAAGGTGTTCCTGAAAAATGTGCACATATTTGACCTTTGACATTTGGGTAAATGTCACAATGCCCTAATGACAGTGCACTGCATATCATCTATGGGTGTTGCAGGTATACTTCAAGTTTCATCAAGATATCTTTTACAGTTTAAAAGTTACGGCCTGGACAAGATCATATTAGAAGAACCAGAATTAGAAGAAACAGTACTATAGTAATATAATATGTCTCCTTTCATTCGAAGGGGAGACATAATAAATCACAAAAATAATAGTTGCTCTAGTGCTGGTGGATACAAGCCTAGGATTGATGATGAAACAAAATTTAACTTGTCCATACTTTAATCTTGTTTTAAGAATAAAATACTCTAATTGTGCATCAAATTTGTTAAAATTTGTTATGTCACAAATTCTATGAAGCGAAAAAACATACAACATTATTACCATCACATGTATAGCATTACAGGTACTGTTAAGACGCACTTGATAATTACAACCAACAAACGGATACCTCGATAGTCCCTCGATGAGAAATGATGTCGCCCACTAGCATAGTCACCATGGTAACCATTGTCATGTTTCTTGTAATCACCATGACGACCTAGACCATTCTGGTGCTCTCTTCGGAAATCTCTCATATAATCAGAAGTATAATTCATTCTGTCATAATCTCTCTGATATTCCTTTCTGTCCGAGAGATAAACAGGGGATTTAACACCGCGAGAGGAGCTCTCTGGGTGAACATCACTGATGATATCCCGTTTGCCATAATCACGTTTCTCATAATCATATTTGTGTTTTTCGCCATCATGTTTGCCATAATCAGTGAAAGTTCCAGAGTGATAATCAGATTTTGGAGTATGTTCAGAGTGATAATCAGATTTTGGAGTATAATCATTATATTTGCTTCGATAATCTGTGTGATTGCTCATATAAGTATCAACAGGAGTGGTCTGGTCGTCATGGAGATATTTGAAAGTGTCATCACTATGATCCCAGTTTCTGTACATGTCGCCTGTGGTACAACAAAAAACATACTGCTGTACCAGCTATCAATCAACCCTTACAAATGGCTAGTCTCTACACTCCTTACAACTGGCTAGTCTCGACACTCCTTACAACTGGCTAGTCTCTACACTCCTTACAACTGGCTAGTCTCTACCCTCCTTACAACTGGCTAGTCTCTACACTCCTTACAACAGGCTAGTCTCTACACTCCTTACAACTGGCTAGTCTAGACACTCCTTACAACTGGCTAGTCTCTACCCTCCTTACAACTGGCTAGTCTCTACACTCCTTACAACAGGCTAGTCTCTACACTCCTTACAACTGGCTAGTCTCGACACTCCTGACAACTGGCTAGTCTCGACACTCCTTACACCTGGCTAGTCTCTACACTCCTTACAACTGACTAGTCTCTACACTCCTTACAACTGGCTAGTCTTTACACTCCTTACAACTGGCTAGTCTCGCCACTCCTTACAACTGGCTAGTCTCGACACCCCTTACAACTGGCTAGTCTCTACACTCCTTACAGCTGGCTAGTCTCTACACCCCTTACAACTGGCTAGTCTCTACACTCCTTGCAACTGGCTAGTCTCGACACTCCTTACAACAGGCTAGTCTCGACACTCCTTACAACTGGCTAGTCTTTACACTCCTTACAACTGGCTAGTCTCGCCACTCCTTACAACTGGCTAGTCTCGACACCCCTTACAACTGGCTAGTCTCTACACTCCTTACAACTGACTAGTCTCTACACTCCTTACAACTGGCTAGTCTAGACACTCCTTACAACTGGCTAGTCTCTACAATCCTTACAACTGGCTAGTCTCTACACTCCTTACAGCTGGCTAGTCTCTACGCTCCTTACAACTGGCTAGTCTCGACACTCCTTACACCTGGCTAGTCTCGACACTCCTTACAACTGGCTAGTCTCGACACTCCTTACAGCTGGCTAGTCTCGACACTCCTTACAACTGGCTAGGCTCTACACTCCTTACAACTGGCTAGTCTCTACAATCCTTACAACTGGCTAGTCTCTACACTCCTTACGACTGGCTAGTCTCTACACTCCTTACAACTGACTAGTCTCTACACTCCTTACAACTGGCTAGTCTAGACACTCCTTACAACTGGCTAGTCTCTACAATCCTTACAACTGGCTAGTCTCTACACTCCTTACAACAGGCTAGTCTCTACACTCCTTACAACTGGCTAGTCTTTACACTCATTACAACTGGCTAGTCTCGACACTCCTTACCACTGGCTAGTCTCGACACTCCTTACAACAGGCTAGTCTCGACACTCCTTACAACTGGCTAGGCTCTACACTCCTTACAACTGGCTAGTCTCTACAATCCTTACAACTGGCTAGTCTCTACACTCCTTACGACTGGCTAGTCTCGACACTCCTTACAACTGGCTAGTCTCGACACTCCAATAGCTGAAACCCAGGACATGTATCTTCTTCTGTCCTTACCTGGCAGTGAGTGCAAATCCATTAACTAAATTCAAATTGACATGGAAGAAAGGCGAAGTTCTCAACAATGAAATGACAGTAATACATGGTCAAAATGTAGGCCAAACATGCTAATTGCAGGGTTTTTAACAATGAAAACTTTCCAAATTCATCAAAATCAGTAGTACGGTATTTAAACAATTAAAAATGGCATTTTAATATACTAACTACATCTTTTTAAGGAACATTTCAACATTCAAAGTTTAAAATTGGTGGTTTTTGAACATTTTCAATGTTCAAATGTAGGAGATTCCAAATATGCTACGATCTGCAGAGGTCATGGAGGTCATTTGTAGGTTAACCTGTACTAATGTAGGTGACTGGGCAGGTATGGCAAGGTGAATTGAAATGTATCATCCCAAACTTGTTTAAAGAGATATACATTTTTGTTTAATGAAAACTGTCAATCCCCTGCGAGAGGGTATTCATGAAATCATGAATGGTCATGAACAATTCATGAACATTCATGAATACAGACAGTTTGAAATTCATGAATACTTATTCATGAATATTCATCAACCTGCTTTCATGCATTCTTCATGAACTTTTATGAATAATTAATAAATTCATAAAAATGCATGAATCTGCATGAAGTTTGTGATTATGAATTATTCATGGACTTTTATGCACAGCAAAAATTCATTAAAATTCATCAGAATTCATGAAAGGCATATCCTTGAGAAATCATGAACTTTGATGAATTTAAATGAATAATGCAAATTCATTAAAATTCATCAAAATTTCTTAAAGATTGACTGAGCAGAAATCATGAACTTTGATGAATATTTCAAATACACAAAATTCACTATTATTCATGAAATTATGAATGATGAGAAAACTCAGTATCCTCAGAAACCATTTTTTTTCTTGTGGTTATTTCAACTCCATGTCCATTTTGCATGAATGTATATAATAATGTAAATATATATAATATATAAATATAATTGCCAATTTTGCAGGAAGTATACATAAATTATATTATGGAGTTCCATCTGTATTGATTTTATTGACTTTGGGAAGCACTGTAATTACTGGGAGCAGCGGTGGCTCAGTCAGTTGTTAAGGTCACAGACTACAAATCACATGCTTCTCACCTCCTTATGTATATATATATATATATACATATTGAAAATAACACTGGAATTTCAGTGAGATTCCACTGGAATGAAATATTTCAGTGGAATACCACTGGAATTCCAGAGAAGAAAACAAAAATCCTGTGGAATTCCAGTGAAGCAAAAAAATACAAGTAGAATTCCACTGGAAAAAAATCACTGGAATTATATTTCTACTGGAATATTAATTCCAATGGAACTATAACTCCTCTGACAATCCATGCAGAGGTGATGAGATCTGAAATACATTTTGCATGAAGTGGTATTAACTAGAAAAAATGGAACAATACATCAGTTTAACAATTTTTTAATAGATATATTACCCTTTACAAAGACAATTGTAGGCTAGCTATTAACGTACATGAGTTTATACAAAATATGACTATGTTAAGTCAGTTATGTTCAAGTGTTTAACACTTATGAATGTGAGATTTGGTGTTATTTGGACTAAGATGAACTTCTTTCCTAGTCTACTGCAATGAACTAATACAGTGTCTCCAGTCAACTAGTTCAAAAACATGAATGCAGAGTGATTTTTCAGCATGCTCCTTTAACACGGGCATGGTAATGGCATTTTTCAAATTCTGACTCAATATGTCCCAGACTTGCAAGGACATTCAGAGATATTGGCACAGCTGGTAAAAAGTCATCCTGGCAGTTCATTATTTTCATTATTGTTTTGTATATTGTCTTTGTCATTGTGTATTATTTTCTGCACCTGAAGATTTTGTGTAAACGCTGCTTTGCTCATTGATGGATGGGACACAAACCTATGAAACTGATAGCACAGCCATTCAAGTTTAGTCATAGTATCAGAATTAGGAATTTTGTTGACTGCTAATTCTGAGTTGAATACAGTGAAGTCATAAGAACTACACCAGTCACAATTCATTTCCTTTTGGTTCTCATCTTCGGAATCACTGTTGGCCTCTGAATCATCCTGTTCAGGATCTGTCATCTCCTGATCAGATTCTGAGTATATTGAACCCTGGTCTTCATGCCAATTGGCCATATCCTCTAGATCTTGGTTTAATTTATCATCAGAGCTTGTCTCTGAATCTGATCTGAAATATATAATTTGTATGATATACTGAACACGCCAATTACCAATTAATTATCATCTACCATATTTATCCTTCAATAAGCCCAGGGAGCAAGTGTAAAATATTGGGTGGTCTAATTGCAGACATATATATATTACACGCTACATGTATATATAGGGAAATGAATTAAAAAATAATGAAATTCATAATGATATTGGGGGGAGGGTGTTATTACCTGCAGGCATGGGCTTATTGCGGATGGAACTATTGTTTATTGAAGACCAAATTCAGAATTGTTTCCAGCTTGGTTTACAATGTTTAACATCCTTAGTAAATAGTCGGGTAGTTCAAGGATGTCAAGCCATTTCTAAATTTGAGACTAGTGTATTTTGAAGTTTGTTTAATGACATCAGTTAGTCACCGACAAAGCGGGACACCTGAACAGGAAAGATCATGAACCTTCACACTTTTATAAACTGAAAGCGAGATGAGATCTTTGAGATCAGGGAGTTCTATATGAGGTAATTGACAAGATAGCTAATTATCTCAGGGCCGCAATTAATATTTACTAAAGAAATTGTTGTCCAATGTTTACCAGTAAATACTGGCATGGCTGGTAAGTTGACAGTATATTTACTGGTAATTAACATTGGACATAAACATTTTCAGTCAACATTGCTCAGAATAATTCCAACTGCCAGTTGCAGTAAAAATAATAATCTAAACATTTTATTTAGATCATAGATCATGAACAGGATTTTTTTTTTATTTTTTCGTTATGTAAAGTACAAGTATTAGTTCACAATTGGTACAATATTATACAACATAATCCTCAAAAACGAAGAGATACTTGACTTCGATTATACCCAGGATTTTACCGTCGCCATGCGGTGAAAATAATCACAAGCATTTAAAATTCTGACAGTAAATTGAGATATTTATCATTTCAAGATAACAGTATTACTATCGATAGTAATTGACTTAATCGTCCATATTCCTTTATAAGATTTAACGTTAGGTCTGTCAATTTACTGTCAGAATTTCGAACGCCTGTGAAATATTCGGTGACTTAGTGGCACAAAACAGCGACACGCCTACACCTCTGGACTTTTTACAAAAACTTTTAATTGAAATAACTACGGAAACAACATGGCATTGCTCCTTAAGTTAATTTAATCAACGTATGATGGCCTTAGTCTTACCTAGTGTGCGAAAATCCAGGGGAAACTGGAGTTGTTGACATGCTGTCGGGCGAATGTTCAAACTCCAATTCCTATCCATTGTTTGCATCGCCGTCATTGAGATGAAGCCCGTATCTTTTTATATGTGTTTTAATCTTCCTTTCATCGATTGGTGTGCCTGTTTATCGACAGACAAAGTTACATGGTCTTTTTTCGCACCGAAGTCATTCCATGCCATATTTTTATAAATTGACTTCCGGTAGGATCGGAGCGAATAGAGGAATTATTCTGATTGGACGAAATTAATCCCGCGCCAAATACGCTTCAGAAGAAAGTGGAGATGGAGAAATTTTCGAAAGACGGCAGGAAGGTTATCGAAGCCGAAGGTAAGAATCTGATTGGGATTTTATGAAATACTTGTATGAAATGTTAAAACTATGTGTAATTATGTGAAACCAGTCTGTGATCATGATGTTACAACGGTTTACATTGGCAACAACTCATCTGATTCGTCATATTACGGACTTATATAATCTAATCTAATTCCGTGGTCATATTTACCGTGCGGGTTTAGCAATGATATCGATACTGAAAATTATACGTTAGAAAACAGAATTGAATATATTACTGAGTGCTAATGGTTACTGCGTCCAAATTACCAAACGTGTGTGCGTGTGCACCCAATCCCACCCTGCCGAATTTGAAGTTTACAGTATGAATGCACCTCTTGAGATAGTTCTTAACTTGTATGAAATTTGCAGATAGATAATATATAATTTCAATAAAAATTACTGTCCCACTTGTGTGATATCAAAGCCCCCCCCCCCCCCAAAAAATAAGGTTGATGTACAGGGGCTTTGAAAATACAGGTAGGCCTATATACTAATTTCTACAGTATTTTATAAGATAAATGAAAAATTATTAACTTTTTTCTTATTCAGAAAATGGGATTACTCCTAAAATTTACTGACGCGGACATCAGAGATGCATTCGATTGCTTGATGGATCGTTTTGAAGTGTGCCAGATACAGAGTCGTCATGCTTTGCTGACATCGACACAAACAGGCAGTATTATTAGCAGCCAGAACCTGAAGATGTAAGCTTTAGTGCAAGATCTTCAAATGATAATTAAAGCATATGTGTACAAGCTCAGAAGATAACACCAGCCTGCAGGATGACAGTGATGTGTAAAATGTCCCAAGATATACAGCGAAAGATTTGCTATTGAAAAAGGATAAAAGAGGAATACCTAAAGCACCACAACAGTTTTTCAGCAATCTCATGCAAGATGCGGCAGACACGTACTGGCAATATTTAAAAAAAAGATCTCCCCTTGCACCAAATATTCTTGGAAAATAACAACGGTTTTTTAAAAATGTATTATCAGTGACACCTCAATTAAGCAGACATACAAAGAGGTATGGCAAATACTAGGAATAATTTTGCAAAACAAAAGAGAATATCTTTTAGATAAAAGTTTAGGCAAAAGAAGTTCTACCAAGAAAAATGACAACAGTAATAATTGGAACGTACAGTGTGGAGCTTGCAATTGGAAATAAAGTGTTTGTTACTGACAAAACAAAAACTTAATGGTGAAGGAATTATTATTTCCGATCCTAATTCCAAATTTGTTTAAAAAGCTTTGAACAAACTCAGTGATTTAGACGAAATAGAAGACGAACATTTCGAACTTCAAACACCATCAATTGTTACATGGAGAATGGATAGACTCGCAATAAGTAGACCGGGTAAAAAGTGTGCAAGTTCTACAACGAGGAAACCAGCATGTATTTGCATATACAATACAGATAAATTTCAAGAGTTTTGGGAAACCTGTATTCTACAACTCTAACCTAATAATGTCAGCTGTATCATATTCTTGAAACCACACAGACCATATGTGAACCATGCATCCATATTTCATATTTAACAATGCTAAATATGTAGCAGTAAAAACTTTTGCAAATATATATGTTATTCAACTGTCATTTTTTCATGTTTAAAAGATATTTGTGACGTTACTTGCATTATTTCTAACTTTAAACACAGCATGAATGATTATATATACCGTCATAACTGTAAATTCAGAATCTATTGAATGTCCATTATTATTGTTATCTTCATATAAGTGATTCCAATTTGAATTTCAGTGACCACTGGCTAGGTATTTCAGTGGAAATACCACTGGAATCCACTGGGCAATTTGGCCACAAATTCCAGGTCAAATTGCTGGTGGAATCCAGTGGTATTTCCTCTGGTATCCAAGTGGAATTCCATTGTTTATTTTCATATGGTATTAGACTTTCATGAACTTTCATGAAAGTTCATGAAATGTGGTAATTTGTACATGTTCATGAATGTTCATGAATATTTCAAGCATTTTCAATTCATGAACTTAAAATGGGACGTTTTCTTCATGAACATTCATGAACATTCATGAATTGTTGCCATTTTTCATGAATGTTCATGAATTCATATATTCATGAATATTCATGATTTTATATTCATGAAAGTTCATGATTTTACATTCATGAATATTCATGAATATTCATGAATTTATATTCATGAATTTTCATGAAATATTTTGCTCAAGATTATTCATGAAGTTTTAAGTTCATGAATTTCATGAAAATATTCATGAACAAATCAAGAACATTCATGAATATTATTCATGAATATTTCATGAACTGTTCATGAAGTTTCATGAATTATTCATAATCATTTCGCAGGGGATGTTTTGATTTTAAAGTATTGTCCTTAACACAACCAACTCAACAAAACAATTGGTTTTGAAATAAAAAATAGACAAAAAGGAAACAAACTCAAATGAATTATACAAACCATCACTCATGATGTAGAAATAATTCTCTAGGAAAAAGAAGTACAAAAAATAATTCACGCCAGTACAGACATTGGTTTCATTTTAAATATCATAGACTGTAATTGGCATAATAAGAGCGCCACGTGTAGGTAAATGAGGAAAGGTGACACGTTTTTCATTGAAAAACTTTTCTTGTATCTATAGTATTTTTACTATTTTCTCACTGTAGCCCCACTTCCTTACACATCATTCCGAACTTTTTTAAACAAATTACAATAAGATTTCAAGTTAAATAGGGTATATGTATATTTCAAAAGTGTGGGTTGTCATCTACACATACAGCACATTATACTTCTTTACTTATTGTGTATATTAGCATTGAAATTGTACATACAACAGAAACTAATGAATCCTGTGGTAAATTTCTCCAGCTGTAGTAAATAGTGTATGCTGCATATACATGTAATAGAATGGGACAAATGGATGTTTCTGGTAAGAAAATTAGACGCTCAACTCTCACATTAGAGTAATCAGACGTTTACAATAAGGATATGATACGGGCACAGGGTCAGGATAACAAGAATAGATGGGAACTTAAAATCAGGATTCCGGGACAAATCAGGAAATGTATGGAAACAAAATTCATGAAGAGAACTTCAATCAAGTTCAACAGAATTAACATAAGTCTTGTAGGGGAGTATTTCACATGTCAAGGAAAAGAAAGGAAAGTTCCGCCAGGTTACAACACTTCCAAAATTGTAAAATTATACATATACAAAGATTTTGGACATGACAGAGTAATTATGTACCTAGCGGAGTATAGTTTCTACAGGGTATATATACATGTAGTGCTTACGTGATAGCAAGATATACATATACCAATATACATATTGCACAGAGGCATACAGGTGTTGAGAAACCAATTTTATTCAGGTTTTTTATTATAGTTAATGGTATATGTATTCCTTTTTCCAATGTCATGAAAAATCAATCAAAACATGTAATTACTTTGTGTTTCCTCAAGTTTTGTGAAAATCTTAAAAAAGACATTTATTAAATTGCTGTATCTTTTTGCACAGACATTCACAGAAAGAGATGTCTACAACGGCCTTTCTCTAATATCTATTAATTGATATTGGGTGAGGCATCCAGGAAACAAGCAATTCGTGAAATTGTGTAGAAAATAAAATTTTACAACAACTTGCAGCACTGATCTACAAGTTTACTGTGATTGTGAAACAAAATCTACTGAATACTGTGGAATAATTGGATTCTCTTTGTTTTGTGTAAGATAGTACATGTACTACTGAAGTATAGGGATCTCGCTTGAATATGGCAGGTGAAGTCAGATAAAGCAAGTTTGGTTGAAATTTGGACCAATCAAAACACTGAGAAGTTGGTGGAACCAGCAGGAGACAGAGAAATAGGTGACAGGTATAGATAAAGGCAGATTCACCTGAGTGTGAGCTCTCCATGGTAGAATTTACAGCTGCAAAGAATCGGCATTGAAAGTTCCAGGTTATACCATAAAACATGCAAGATAGCGTACTAAGTGTCTTTGAACATAGTGCCTTTCATGCTTACAGTTCACAAAAGTCTTACTCTATGCACTTAATTATCAAATCCTTCAACCACAATCTAAATTCATAAATATTTATATAAAATGGAAGTTGCGCAAATGATTTTTCAAGCCATAATGAAGAAGACAGATATGAAAATCTCATTCAAATTCTTTAAAAAGGATTGTGCTGCAAACTAATACATACAGTAAAATACTGGCCAACTCTATAACGAAGCTCGGAGAACCTATAAAAACAGTTCACCATAAGCATATATTTTTTATGGGGAGCACAATGTATGACTTTACAATATCGAGAATTCAAACTAAGTGAGTTTGTACTGTATTTTACTGTATAAGCGAATGTGAGCTATAACGTATAATGGGACTGGTCGAAAGTTAAGAACACTGACCAATATAAGATTGGAGCTACATACCTGTGTGTGTACTCTCCACTGTAGCGACGCTGTCAATCAGTGACCCCGAGTCATCATTGTCCTCAGTGTAGTACAGATCACGGCTCCCGTAAGGTCTGTCAAAGACAGTCACACATTAGAATGACTTACTTCATACACAGATAATATATCTATTAGTTTCCTGTATGGTCTGTTAGAGACAACATTATCGAAAATATAACACCTTTTCCATACACATAATATAGTTAATGGTCTCTGATATAGTCTGTAAAAAAAACACTTAAGCACACCTTACATCATCTACACATAACATACTCAATACTACAGTCCTGTATGGTCGGTCAGAAGCCATCAAACATTTGCATGCCTGATATGATATGTTTATTTATCTTGAAATTTATTTATTCCAGGTCGGGAGCTGTAGCGTTCAGAATAAAGAGGGTCTGCTGTACATGTAAAATATGATATCTAGTGTAAATCTGAAACTTAACTATTATCCTGCAACTTTATCTTATATTCATTTCATTATTTACTAACATACCCAGGTAACTCACTTAATTTTCAACAAGGAAAAACATTTGAACCATTACTACATACATAATGTGATAAATCATATCCCAATCCATCATGTCAAACATGAGGTCAAGGTCATGGCTGGTAACCCCTTGGTCCCACCGCAGCCACCGATGTAGGCTGCCCATGTCACTCCGACAACTGTGAACTCCAATGTCTATTCATATGTCACAGTCATACATAAAAACTTCCCTGTCTATGTTGACAACAAATCCTCATGTCCAAAGATTCCAAACCCTCTGCTGTTCATATAGAACAAATACTTGAAAACCATCCAAAACTGGGGCTCACGTAAGAGGTTTTCCAAATTTCTCAGTCCTTTTTAGCATCAAAACCTCATTAGCACCTTTACTAATCTCTTATTCAGCACAACTTATGATAGGACTACACAATCACCATAATATACTATAATCGGCACCAAAAGTCAGTCAGCACTTCATCAACTCATTAAGTGTCAATTGATAAGATATAGAACTGACAGGTTAAAAAGCTGTATATAGTGTTAGGTAACAGTCCTCATCTCCAAACATATATATGATTTATTTCTCATAGCGGTGTACCTGTAGTCTGTCCTCACATTCCAATCTCACCACACTATTACACATGATGTAGTAGTCTCTTGCTCTAACATATTCAGACATCAATACCTGCCTTAATTAATTACCACCATGATTTCCTGGTACAGTCCCGAGGGACAATTCAACAACCAGCTTGGTCATCTAACCAGACAAACACAGGTATGGCTGATTGATTGATTGATTGATAGGTTTTACGTCCGCTTCACTACCGAGTAGTTCGGTTATCCAGCAGACGAATGTATGGCTGATTTCATTATATGACAGATAATGTGTCTATACCAGAAGGGCCCAATGCACAAGGGAGGGGTATTTGCCAGATTTATAGAATAAGAAACACAGGGTTGTTAGGTGTTTTACCTGTATGGCCGGAGCCTTGATCCCTCCCGGCGACGTGAGCTGTTGTCCGAGTCGTCAGGTGAGATGACACCTCCACTACTGGACGGGCTGCCGTCTATAGAAAAGCCCAACAAAACACCAATAAATGGACGCTAATGGTCATTGAATTATGGTCAATCATGTAGAGGGAAGGATCGAGTTTTCTAGAATATATAGCAGTACAATATGTAAATTGTGAATGTTCTTTTCGTCATCACCAACTATCTAAATCTATCCAGATTAATTTGGTTTGTGGAGATCTGATATTGTGAATGGAATATTCAAGTGATTTTCACAACTCTTACACCATTTTTATCTAATTCATAATAAAAATCACAAAAAAAAAAAAAAATGCAATTGAATATAAAAGCATATCTCTATTTGCACCTACTTTGCCAAGACTATATATAGTCAATATATAATTTTTATTGCATATAGTCATAGATTGAGGATTATTTCAATTGTGATTTTTATTAGGTTTGATTGTGTACTCGCAGAATGACTTGGTGAGTGCAGCACAATAAGGTAGGGCAACAATCTGTTTAATACAGGCTTACTGTAGGCATGTTGTTATCTTTATATACATTGTAGCTTACATTCTGTTCGGTAGTTATCTCTCTTGTTCCCTTTAATTAGCACTCTCATTTACCTAAAAACCCTTTAATTAGCACTCTCATTTACCTAAAAACCCTTTAATTAGCACTCTCATTTACCTAAAAACCCTTTAATTAGCACTCTCATTTACCTAAAAACCCTTTAATTAGCACTCTCATTTACCTAAAAACCCTTTAATTAGCACTCTCATTTACCTAAAAACCCTTTAATTAGCACTCTCATTTACCTAAAAACCCTTTAATTAGCACTCTCATTTACCTGAAAACCCTTTAATTAGCACTCTCATTTACCTAAAAACGAACCAGCTAAGTGAGAGTTATCAATACTTTCTCTACTGTATATATACCTTTCAAATGTGTCAGAAATAATAAGTCTAAATTAATTCCATTTTTTTTTTGTCAAAGTAACCTCACACTGGTTTCTTATATGTTGTGTAGAACACTTTTGGAAAGGAGAAACATAAACTTAATTAACATACATTCTTAATGCTTTATATTAAAATTATTAAAAAGTGCCCAAAACAGTTGGCGATACTGATTCTGTCTTGTCAACACCTCAAAGACATATGTACCCAGTCTTGTCAATACAGATATCTTACACCTTAAATGTACCCATTGTCTTGTCGCTTCAAATACTCAACACCATCAATATACTGACCATCTTTGTTAAAATTGTTAGGTAACATCTAATGATCTTTAATATACCTGTCTTGTCAATAAAGCTACTTAACACCTTTTAAGGTACAGGTACCTGTATTGCCAATACATGTACAGGAGCATGGCAATTAGAACACATATTTCATATGTTAATACAGACATCATGCACCTAGAAGATATTGACTTTGCCTTGTCAGTAGAGCTATCAAGCACCTAGAAGATATTGACTTTGCCTTGTCAGTAGAGCTATCAAGCACCTAGAAGATATTGACTTTGCCTTGTCAGTAGAGCTATCAAGCACCTAGAAGATATTGACTTTGCCTTGTCAGTAGAGCTATCAAGCACCTAGAAGATATTGACTTTGCCTTGTCAGTAGAGCTATCAAGCACCTAGAAGATATTGACTTTGCCTTGTCAGTAGAGCTATCAAGCACCTAGAAGATATTGACTTTGCCTTGTCAGTAGAGCTATCAAGCACCTAGAAGATATTGACTTTGCCTTGTCATTATATCTATCAAATGTCTTGAATGCCATGCCCAGTGTTGTAGTTAATTATGCATGACCAACAGATGTTCTGAGTCACTCTCTAGTATTTCTGTGGAAGCTCAAGTATTCAAATACTCAATGTGCAAGAGTCACACAATCATGTATCATATAGGTTTATTGACTTAAACATTTTTTACTTTGCCGATTCTTCTCCTTTATTTATGTTTCACCAGTAATCAAGTCTACTGTATCTTCCTCGTAATTACCCACAGGAAATTCATCATTAGGTACTGTACATGTACTTTGAACAGGCATGTCTTTAGAATGAATTGGGTATTAAATTTATATTGTACATATAATGTTCTGTATTTTCTTCAATTGAAATTAATTAATATATCTCATTCTCAATTACTCTACCTATCAATAAATCTCAAACTAAGGACTTAATTGACCATTGTCAGGTTTTCTGAAAACTTAAATCAACATCACATTAAGACACATGCATCATTATTATGAACTTTCATTAGACCAATTCACAACAAAGGAACTCATATCAAGTGTAGACTTTTCTCAAGTGAGTGATCATGTGGTTGGCTACAAATAACATACATGTGCTTTTAATGACAGAATAATAAATATAAAGCTGATTATACAATACTAGTTCTATTAACCGCCCAGACCAACACTATAGTGGTCACAATTAATACAAACATAGTCAAGTGGCCTTGTGAGTGATAATTGAATAAATGATAATTGGTCATTTACCAGTGGCCATGTGAGTGATTATTGGATAAATGATAATTGGTCATTTACCAATCTCAATCACAAAAATTGTCACTGAAGTTTCGGTCCATAACTTACCAGGTACTATTAATAGCATTGGTAACCTTGGCCTTGACACCCTAAACACAAACTGATTTGAGATATTCTCTAATCTAATTGAACTGTGTATAAAGATTGGTCAAAATTTGTTAAGAAATGAAGTTACAAGAGTAATGACCACAGACATAAGTAACACATGTCCTAATCAAGTCAAATAATGCAGGGGGCGTAACAAAGTTTTACTGCAATATTTTTCCCATTTTATATGTTATACTTAGGTGTTTTTTTCCCTGTTAAGCCACAATAATTTCTATTTGAAAAAATGCATCCATAAAACTTCTAAAATAAACCCATAACCCTGTAATTCCACGAACTAGTTCATAAACTTTTCTTCCTGTTCCATTTTCTTCAGACACTCAAACTTCATGCACATACATTTTACATGGTATATCACACACAATTCTGTTATATGTTAGAAAACTCTGTCAATGTTAAGTTAGCACACTCTCTACCTCTGTGATGACGACGGTATTTCTTCTTCCTACGAGCTGAAAATATTGCAAGCATGGGCATGCAGAATATATACTGTGTATATTGATATAGGTCCCAACACACAATATCAAAGTTATCTACAATCACAGTGTCCAATATTCTCTAAATAAAGTCTGCCATAAAGCCACAAAGACACCTTTACTGTAGACAATGTTTACTGTAGACAATTAAGTAAATAATGTTTCCAGTAGATAATGTTTACAGTACGGCATTCATGCTTCAAAATCAGAAATAAAAAATACATTGTGCATTGAATGGCCACATCAATATGATCAGATCTAGAGTGACTGCATCAAAGACCTTCTACCAGAGTTGATAACCTACTAGTCTGTCAATGACCTGTAACATGAACTTCACAGTTCCCAAATTGTTCTCACTTCATATCATTTTTTAAGTGTACCTAGGGTTCATGGATAGAATTTGAAAAGTCAGAGGCACTTGAAAAGATTATATGAGTAACTTTCTTTTAACATATCATGTACAATGTAGTCACATAGCATATTTGCTAAGTATGTATAAATAATTGTTTACGTAATACTTGAATTCATACGCAATGCCCTTCACAAATTTTCGCAAAAATTAATAAAATAAGTAACAGTGAAGTCAGCGTTTCTAAAAATGTGGAATAAAACATAAAGGTCAGACTGGATGGGATGCTGTAACAACACAAGGCTTATATTGCAGAAATAGCAAGAATGTTTTGTATTTTTTTCAAAATAATAAAACAACTTAGCTGTGAACATTTGACATGCTTTTCTCTGTGTATGTACTGACCTAACTGCGGACTGTTGCCACCGTATGTTTCCTGTCGGTCACTCCCAGACCGCGACAGTCGGGCACTCTTACTGCTGGACGGACGGCCATCGTCACTGAAAAACACATGTAGTCGATGAAACAGTGTCTGTAAATCTGATATCATTTCAAATAATGTATGTGAATATTAAATTGACATTTTTATTTTTCTATAAAAACATTGTTGCTAAAGAAACAGAGATTATATTGTTAATCTCCAGGGACAAAAATAGTCCTTACCCAGCAGATGATGAAGCATGTCTACGGTCAGTCAACGATGTCGAGTTATCATCATGACCCAATGGTGCAGCCTCCTCTGACCTACTTCTGGTATGCCGCTCCCTAAATATAGATAACCATATTTAATTAAGACTCTTCTTCCAACAAAGATTTAATTTACATGGAAGATTAGAAGATCTCTCAATGTTTTCATCTTCCAAAAAACATTTTTATAGGAATATTTATGAGATATATAAGATTTTCGTTCCTCCAAAAATCTTAATTGCATTATAGATTGGTGAACATTTCAATCCCTGTGAGATATACAACGCAAGGATCTCTTATTCACACTTAGAATGTAGTAACCACACATGTATGTACTGTACCCAGTACCGGTACATACAAGTGGTGATAGGACTTGTAAAGGGAGCTTTGGTTAAACTTTAAGTATAACAGGCAAGCTGATCGGAAGATCATCTGAAGTATAAAGAGTATAAATAAAGCAAATAAGTTATGAATACATTAACTGAAGTATTGAACAACTGAAGTATAAATATATCAACTGAAGTATAAATAGATCAACTGAGGTATAAATAGATCAACTGAAGTATAAGTAGATCAACTGAGGTATAAATAGATCAACTAGAGTAAAAAGATCAACTAGAGTAAATAGATCAACTGATGTTTAAAAGATCAACTGATGTTTAAAAGATCAACTGAGGTATAAATTCCGTCTTTGCGTATTGCAGAGTTATCTTCTCTTGGGAGCAGGTATTGATTGTTACGTCATTGGTTTGTGTGAGAAAAGTACGTCGTTTGCTCAAAAATTGATGAGGTTAGTCTTACAAACAAGTGACGTAACAATCAATACGTGCTCCCAAGAGAAGATAACTCTGAAATACGCAAAGACGGAATAGATCAACTGAGGTATAAATATATCAACTGAAGTATAAATAGATCAACTGAGGTATAAATAGATCAACTGAAGTATAAAGCTACTTAGGTACAGATACATCAACAAGGTTTAGACATCACAAAAGATGGGCTTCTGAAATTAACCAAAGTGCACATAATGAGGTAGTTTTCTACGGGTATGTCTTTTCTTTTGTGCTGAAGAATACACATATTACATAATGAAACATGTACATACACAAAATATATAACATAAAATACTTCATTGGGTTTGCATTGAGCAGCAACCTCTGGAATGGCAATTCAATACACATATATGTACAATATTGTAAAGAAAAGATAGTATATTTATGTGAATAAGCTGGCATGCTTTGACAAACATTGACACCTATCCAGGATATATATAACAAGCAAATTCGTGGAATTTATATCCCCCGCTTGCAGGGCATATTGTAGGTTAACATTGAGGTTAGGTTTAAACATGAGAGTATCGTGCTGTTGAGACATAATGTATAGCTTGAAACTTGGAGGAAAAAACCCACCTATACCTCATTTATTATCCCAAGTACAATGTTTTACAATATTTTATTGAAACATCTGAACAGTATATACAGCAATTATAACACGAAAACCAAAGAGGAATTTGGCTAATATTTGATAGAGTTACTAAGCGGAAACTGCAGATAATGAAGTTTTTCGTTAATCAAGGGGCCACAACTCTGCCAAATGGAGTCCGATTAAAGTGGTTGTCAAACTTGGCCGAGCCCTTAATGCGTTGAACCCTGTCACTCAGTTTGAAGACAATCAGATAATATTTGCGAGAGTTATTGAACAGAAACGGTAGATAATTAAGTTTTTCATTATTCAAGGGGACATAACTCTGCCAAATGGGGTCCGCTGAAAGTGGTCATCAACCTTGGCCGTGCCCTTAAGGCATTTAATCCTGATATCAAGAAAATCGGTTAACATTTGTAGTAGTTATTGCACGGAAACGAAGCGTGACAGACAGACAGACAGACAAACCCAAATTAATATCCCCGTTTTCGGTGAAAGCAGGGGATAATAAAAATATGTCGGCTAATAACCTTTAATGATACAATTGTTATTGTGTTAACAGTATGTATGCGGCAGAAAGCAATTATCTATATATAGATTTTATCAATTAGTGATTGGATTATAATTTCGTATTTGAAGTTAATAATCAACAAAAATTAGTAATACTGTGAACTACAGCATGATTACTTGAAACAACATGTAATTAATTAACTCAGTCTTAAAACTTATACAATATTATAACCTAAAAGGATGTTTGACAACTATCGATATAATTTTCACACTTAATCACAAAAGAAATTATGAACACATAATGTAAAATGTTTAAGTAAAAGAATGCATTACATTGGGTGGTGGAGTTAGTATGAATAGGACATGCAGGTTTGGGAGTCATAAAGGCATGCCCTATAAGGACCTTAGGAGATATCATCATACCTCATAAAAATTCATACAATTAACATGGCCCCTACTTTGTCAATGAGACTAACACTACCAACAATAACATGGCCCTTTGGGTGCCTCATTCTCTAAATGAGAATCCCTTTGGGTGCCTCATTCTCTAAATGAGAATCCCTTTGGGTGCCTCATTCTCTAAATAAGAATCCCTTTGGATCCTTCATTGATGGCCACACTGTACCTGTCGGGACTAATCCTGAAGTCCGGTGAGAGGTCACGAGGGTCGCTGTATCGCCGCTGATGGTCCGGTTGCTGGACTGGGCAGTTGTCCAGATCAGTAAGAAAAAAACGTTCACTGCAAAACAGGATTGGTGGTGATAGGTAGGGGTGAAGGGGTACACTCAGGGGCACACAGGGAGGGGCATGCTCTGCTGGACATGATCATGCTCAGTTCACTGACTTTAGATCGCGTAAATTTAAATTATATTTTAAGTTAAAAGAAAATTGCAAGTTGTATGTTAAAAGACATCTAATTCCCTTAGATTACACTTTCAAATGCATCAATCACCAAATTTTTTCCTTTTTTTTCACTTTTCTTTTTTCTATGAATTCCAGATAACCATATTTATATGTCATGCCATACATATCCCCCCTTACTTTATAAGTCACACACAACTAATCCCTTATTAATTCATGTACTATATATTCATCACTTATTCCTTATTTTCAAGTTGATGATAATCAAAGATAATCTGTAGAACAAAGTTTAGGGATGGTTACCAGTTATAACGTTATGACAATTCTTGCTGAATCTATCAGGAAAACTTGTTATAAAAGACATTTTGGTAACCAAATTCTCCACATCAACACTCAATGCTTCGGTACACTTACACCGTATTTAAGTGTCTTCAGTAAGGGGTCGCAGCTTATGTTTAAGCAATTATTTAAGCTGGTTTGAAAAGCTGGTGCCAATGCTCCACAACCAAATAGTATATTGTAGATAAAATATTGATGAAATGTAAAACACCACATACAGAACCCATGTAAAATTAATGTCAGCTGTGCTAACAAATCAGAACGGAATGATGCGGAATATTACCATGAAAAGATACATATTTGAGCAGATGTGATTATTAATTATGATTGCTGCTACCTATTATACCATGGAAATGAATTTTAACATGCAAGCAATCCAAGGCCAGGTACGTTTTACATATCTATGTAACATTCAAAAGCTGAACAAAAAACAGGTTTAACTTTTAATACAGATCCATGTCTGAAGTCATGCAACCTTAGCTTCAGCCAAGCTCCAATAATTCATTCCCTGACATGTAATTAATTTGTAATTAATACTACACAGATGAAATGAATATAATTTGTCATTTTAGGTCGATATTTAGACCGAAATATTTTACCAGGTAATATTTGACTCAAGTTTTCACTTTATTTTACATAATTACCAAAATATGAAATTCACATTCACAGAGAGGCTGTGTAACAACCACTCAAGGCAGTTCTTTATACAATACTTATCACTTCAAAGATCCCCTCAATCCCAATGTTTTTAATCAATCTTTATTGGCTCAACAATTTTTTTATTTTGTTTTAACCCTTCAGTGTAATTTATTACTTTCTTAATCTCTTGCACTTCATGCCAGGCTAGCATCTTGCCCAACCTGTTGCCACGGAGACATGTACTATTCGACCTTCAAATAGTGACACATGTGCACACACCTGTTCGGGAAAACACACACACAACACAAGAGTGATCCAAAAATGTGATTTAACTTTTTGTTCATTGTCTGGAGCTAGCAAATTGATTACAGTATACCAAAAAGTGACTATCTAACTGCCTAAATGTTTTTTTCTAAAGCATAACACAATTCCAATCGGTCTTTGAAGAATTAAATTATGAATGAACAATTTTTGTACATGCATTACTTTAAATTTTCATGGAGACTGAAACCTCAAAAAAGACTTTACTTCTTATTCTTTATAAGTATTTTACTGAGTTTCAATATTGATATACACCACATCGTATGTTGTAACATAGAATAGCTCTCTGTGATTTTTATCTATAGACTACATATATTAACCACACTACCAAACTAGAGCTTGCTAGATCCAGACAATGCCATACTTGGGGATAACACATGATAAACCACTCATAAAACACATTGTGACATGTTACAATCTGTGAATGCATCCGAGAAGTCAGTAATTGCATGAATACCTCTAACTGATGTGTCCATCAGGGGATTGACCGTACAGGGTATAAATAAAGCTGCAACTGTATCCCTAATTTACTAGTACCCAAATCCTTTCTGTTTATGTAATTTATCCTGAGATTGACAATGATTCTATGGTAATACAGGGATTCATGATTACTGTTTATTATATAATCAATAATGCAGTGATCTAGATAATGGATCGAGAGAAGGGAGAATAACACTTTATGGATTGGATGAATTCTAGTTTACTGATGTATGTTTCATGACAAAACATCTTTAAACAAATCACATTTTACATGTCATTAAATTCTTTTAAGACCTTGATAAAATTCCTCTAAGATTGACAAGATTGCAGTAATGATTTTAACATACCTTAGGTATAGAACATGTTTTTTTTTTCAAAAACAGTAATTTTTAATTTTTAAGTATTGAGTGATATGAGAACTGAAGTAGTGTATGGATTGAAATCTGTGAACAGATGAATGTGCGATGAACAGGAGATGTTTGTGTCTGATGAGAAAGACTGTGATTGAGAAGGAGATGTTTGTGTCTGATGAGAAAGAGTGTGATTGAGAAGGAGATGTTTGTGTCTGATGAGAATGAGTGTGATTGAGAAGGAGTATGATGTAATGGAAACACCACAGATTAACTAGTTTGTCATTTACAAAAAAACATTATTGTTTGGATCACATTTTATTGTGAAGTGAAATTATGTGGATTCTGTTTTATGATAGTGAGAAGAGCCTCTAACAGTCAAACAGGTGATACAACACAACAATGGTCGTGAACATTGACACAGTGTTTGATGACAAAAATGGTTTTAAAAAATCTGCTAAAATGAGAAAATGAAATGTCAATAAAGAGAAATAATTTTTAAAGTGTAAAATAATGGTGCAAATGAAAATAATTTAAGAATATTTTTCCCGTCTTAAAAATAATTATCTACTACTGGTGAACATACACTACTGATCGTGATAGTCTACAGTACAAAGATTATATAATTACAGCTACTAAAGATAGTAAGGTACATGTATCATGGATCACTACCTTAGTTCATTTGTGGTGAAATAGGAAAGAAATATACCATAGGAAACATCTATGAGTTTTGATCCTAATACTAACACTTTTCAGTGATTGTTCTACCACAAGGTGCAGAATGAGGGGACAATTTGGTATTCATCCAATCTGCATCTCTACAATAATAGCCAAAGAGCCATGCAATTAAAGAGAGACTTACTTGGCCAGCTGTGGTGTCACCGTGTCCTTGAGATCCAGTTCCCTTGGAGGTCGTACAGGAGATGGCTGTAATTCGTGGTAAACCTCTTCATCTTTAGTCTCTACGTTATCTTCCTGATTGGCCCCCTGGTCTGGCCACGCTTCTCTGGCCGCTCCAGGATTTACCTGCCCTTGGTCGTCCCTGTACACTGGGTAGCAGTCAATCACTTGACGACATGGTGTTCGTAGGTTTATACTGTGGTCAAATGTACGATCTGTGGTTTTCTGTATCTGAGATGATAAGTACTTCTGTGCATTCCCTAGTGCATTGAAGGGTGCATGTCTGCCACCCTTCAGGAAGGACAGCTCTGAGGCATTTGTTTTGTCTGGATGCATGCTGCCATTTAATGAACTCATCTGTGACCACTCCAACTGTTTCTTAATGTCTCTGTCATGAACTATAAAACTGCCATCTGGTGATTCGTAGCTGTCATAACTAGAGTCCATCTTTGGTCGGTTGGCAATTCTCTCCATCATCACACGTTCCTGTTGCATGGCCTCCTCCAGGATACCAAACACCTGTTTCTGTGGTGGCTCCTTGGTGAGGATGGTGAAAACACGACTCGCTAAACCAGAGTTGTCCAATGTCTCCTTATCTCCTTTCCTAGACTGATATTTTCGAATGATATCTTCTACATCAGGAGCAAGATTTCCAGTGTCAAGCTCTGATTCAGAATTCAGCTGGTCACCTACAACATCCACCTTCCTACGTCCTTGGTCAGGTGACGGCCTCTCATCATCTGTGGTTGGTCGAGATTCTCCTAGAGCTGTAAGTCCTAAGGTGTCAGTTTCGGTCTCAGTATCGTTTTTCATCGTCCCAAGGAACACCCCTGCACCACTGACGTTGATTCCAAAGTCTGCAGCATGATCCCAGAGAAGTTTACGGTTTCGTGCACTTTCAGGATTTGAGGAGAAGCTTTCTCCACTTCTGTCCATGTCAGGGCCCCTGGACTGTGGAGCATGACTGCTGTAGGCCTCCTCCCCTACCTGTTGGTTAAGGCTGTTCTGTATGTCCTGTAGGTCCCTCTGCAGCATAGAGTAGTCTATATGTACAGGGTTCTTAACAACGCTGTAGGCTGTATCTGTCTTTCGAGGCTGTTCCGGAGGTGGGTACTGCATTTTTTCCACGTAAGCTGTCTTTGCTAAAACATTCTGAACTCGGTGACCGAGAGAGTCTGATGAATCTGTACTGCGGTCCGAGTTAAGACGGGCACGTGTCTCTTCCAGCAACCTCTCTGTCTCCCGCTCCTGCCGGTAGTAGCGCTGTAAAGCCTCCAGCTCAGCAGCACTCTCATTACTTAGGTCCCTCTCCTCGGTAACAAACTTGAGGTCAAGCTTCAGACTGCCTGCACCAGAAGCATCATTCTTCACCAGATGTTTGGCCACTTCTTCACCAAGAGACGAGGTCATACTTTGTTCAGACTTTGATAAATTTTGAGTATTTGATCCCAAGGATCCAACACTTCGAGACTGATTCTCCAGGCTTTCTCTCACTTCATCAATCTTTCTCTCTGCTTGAACTACATCGTAGGGAGGTGGGGGTGGTCTTGACTCAACAGGACATGGTCTTTCAATGGTCCCCAGAGGTCTAGGCTCTAGTGCTGGTCTGTCTTTGTGATAATGGTCGCCTTCCCCGAGGCCTAATGACTCCCTGCTGTACAACTGTTTGTGAAGTGAGGCACCCAATGAACTTGCATCATTGAGGAGTTTGGCGACACGCTGTGACATGTTACTGCGGGACTGTGGGTCACTCAAATGAGCTGGGGTGACAGTATTCGTGGTTGCTGCAGGTGCTGCCATTGTCTGCACATGACCATTTTCTGACACCACATTTTGAACTCCTTCTTGTTCGTTTGATTCAGGGTTAGTTGGAGGCAATCCTATCAGATGTTCTCTGTCAAGCACAGGAATATACGCAACATCTCTTGCTTTTGATCCCCCTTCTGAGTTAAAAGTGGATACAGACTGTTTGGGAGCATCATTCAAACCTGAGCCACCAGGTTTAGTGACCACTATCCTGGAATCGGGGGCAGAATTGGCTTGAAGAGAATATGGCTCTGGAACTTGAGACCTGTGAATATTCTCTGGCCCAGAGTTATTATCACTTTCCGCTGATTTCCTCAAAACTAACAAAGGCATCTCCAGCTTTCTTTGCCCATTTTCTGATTTGAATTCAGGTAGAGCCTCCCCTGAGTCTCTTCTTGTTAACCTTTGACCTTCAGGGCCTTGACCCCCTGGAACCTGCATCCCTCCATCACGACTCTGGTCAGAAAATATAGCATAAAATTGCTGAGAAGTGGGTTGGGAAGATCCACTGGTTTTGTCAGAGTCTTCACCAGATCCTGTATCAGAGCCGGACTTAGCACTTGAAGCATTGTCAGGGTGTTGTAGAACACTAGGCACAGTATTGACAGTCTGTGTGCTGTACCCCGAGTCTTTGCCTCTCTGTGAAGTTACCGAGGCCATGGTATCTAAAAGTGGGTTTTGTGCAGGCCCACCATCTTCTGATGACCTTGGGGTTGGTTCAGGGTTATAGTCCGACTCATACGGGTTCCACTCAACGTCAGACATCCCTGTCGCAGATTCTGGGTAATTAGCATACACAGCTCCCCTGGGATCCCCAGTCAGACCCTTATGATCCCCATCAGAATTGCTGTCACTGTCACCAGATCTCATCATGCTCCTCATGGGGGAGAAATTCCCTGTTATAAAGTCCTTTGATACCTCTGTAATGGCAGTGGACAATGCCTCGTCGTTAATACTGCCACCATCGTGAGCCGAATCGTATCCAGATTTGTCGTCTAATGGGTACTGTGACAGACTAAGGTTACCTATAACAGAAACAATGACTTACATCAGCTGTGTTATAATATTACACACAGTATACATGTAGTAGTTTATATAACATTAATCTTACTGAAATAACTCAGAAAACACTTTTATTTAATCTGACAACAACAAAAGCTGTTGTTGGTACTTTATCTATTAACTGCTGCAGCCTATAACAGCATTCTTATCATCTGGGCATAAAATCGTTTTCCAATTCAAATTTATATAGATTTCATAAATTTGTTATTACATGTACCAACAACCACACATAGAAGAAAAGCAATGATCTGAACACAGAAGCATTCAACAACGAACCAAAAGGCACGGCTGATCAATCATTTGATAATGAGGACAGCTATTATAACATAATGAGTCGGACACTTTGTAATGTTAAGGAAACAAATTGACCAACAAGATTTTTTTTTATATAGCACAGAACTTCGAACTGACACCTAAAATGTGGATGATTTATGATTGTAACATTGATCTAACCATCTGATGTTTCTGTTTCTGATCTCCATCCTGAACCCTCGTCAGAAGAAAATCCTCGGTGAGCAGATGGTGAGGACACTTGGTTTGAGCTGTCATCCCTTCCACTGTCATTGGTAGAGCCAGTCTATACAAACACAAATTACATACAATATATGAACATTCATCAATCTCATTATAAGGAAAATATCCTGCAAAGAGGAGATCTCACTCCGACGAAACTCAAGATCTATCTCATATGCAGCACCAAAACTCATAGAAAACCTCCCTCACGCAAACTAAAGTCACATTGAGCAACATCCAAAGACATTGTTGTCTTTGACACATCTCATAGGAAATGTTATTCCTTGCATTGTTTCACAATGGCCACTGTCAACAAATTTGAATCAGAAAATCCTCTGGAGAAATCAAAACCCATATTGTTTACAGTTTTCAACTACTTTTAATACCATTTTTATTCAATACCATTCTTCGATAAAATAACCTATTCATAGAAATGTTTTTAAAAACACATTAAATCAATATTTAAAATAATTTACTTTAATAGTAAGGTGTTTCATGACTTTGTTGAAACACAAACTCCTTCCTCCTTGAGATCCATATCCTCAAGCCATATTAAATACGAAGATAATTGTCAGCTCACAATAATGGAATCTTTGTCTTCACCCTTGTGATGCACATATATACTGTTCCATCCGAGGAAATCTGATCTAGCTTTCAACACTTCATGAGCATAATTATATGTGAAGACAGATTATTAGTACAATGATAATTACTGCCAGGGCCAATATTAAAATATTGAAATATCAGCTCTGTACATGCAATGCAGAATTTATGTTTTGTCTATAGCTATGGAAACCATAGCTCATTTTTAAATCCTTATAATTTTTTTTATATCTTATGGAATTGGTTCTAGAGTCATGGTATCCAATCTATTCAAAACTTGTGATTTGGCAACCTTGAATGTCCTTGCTAAGCAAAAATGTTTTTCTGTTATATTATGGTTTGAGAACAATTCTTAAGACTGCAATTAAGGAAAGTGAGTTGAAGTCAATAAGTGCTGTACACTAGCTACATGTACCGGTATATTACGTAGTGTACTGTTGCTAAATATAATGGTACAATGTTCCAGTGTTTTATGGTTCCAATGTTTTATAGTTTATGGAAAGGAGTATATGTCCAACAGAGGAATGATGTGTCTGGATGTGTTTTGGTATGTAAGTCTGCATGGTCCTGAAGACTGCAGAAAAAACTGCTGTAGTACTTAAACATGATGGGTAACTATATTTTCTTTATCATGATGTGTGATTATTCTGTAGTACTATATGTGGTACCTTTAGCACGAAAACACATTCAAATACTAACAGAATAGGATAAAATGTAATATTTTAATTATTTACTTGTAACTTATCATTTTCTGTAATTGTATTTGTTATAGTATGTTTAACAGTGATATTTTGAGAATATCTATTGTGAGTATAACACAAATCCGTGACTAAGAAATCCGATTCTGTGATCATGATCATGCATGAGCAGTCAATCAGGCTCTGAACCTTGTGAGTTTGAATGCAAGTTATTTATTAGATTGCAATTTATAGGCCCATGTATAAGAATGCTAATGTACAAGACTGGGTCAATCGTCAGGGACCAGGTAGCTCAATTGGTAGAGCGTCTGTTAAAGAGAATTTGGAGGGTCCCTGATTCGAACCATGGTCTGGCCGTTATATTTTCTCTTTCTCATGTTACAATAATAACCAATTGATAAATTGTTATTGGTTATAGTCCTTCTATGGTATTTATCAAATAAACCTTAATTTGTAAAATTGATGGCGATAATTAAGTAAGTCAGTATGGTTTGGTTTGTTTGTGTTTTACATCCTATTAACAACAATGGTCATTTTAAGTCGATCAGTATGGTCAGTATGCTAGATATATATAGGAGTCAATGATATATAACATACAGGTCCGTGTTTTGTCATTTCCATCTGCATGCTTGTAGTGTAAGCCTCTTCAATCTATTGTCACTTGTATTATTTTATGTTAAGCCTGGCAGTAATATAATAGTGCTTGGTTTCTGCAGGTTCTTAATGAGATTCATACATGTATCTTGACCACACTCAGGTTACCTGGTTTCCAGATGCTGCACCATCCATTCTTATATATTGTGGTAGGGACGAATATGCTGAATTCCCAGTTACATCATTAGAGTAGCTTAATTCAGCACCAGAATTGTCTTCTTGATGGTCCTAGGGTGAAAAGGAGCAAACTGAGAAAATGTTCTTTATCAGTTTATTGCATTTGCTGAAAATCAACTTACATTGGATAAAACAAATGTGCAATATCAAAACACAACAATATACTCTTTTGTGGTAAGTAGGCCTATTACCCTTCCAGTTTACTCGACCTGCATGCATTTGAGTTTCTTAAAAATAAAGAAATGAATATCCGGTACTGGCTCTATCATTATATGGGAGTAGGTCTTAATTTGCACACCCTGAATGTTGATGCGATGATATTAAGTGCCAAATTCTTAAACTTACCAATAAATGTATTCTTCAAACAACATCAACCAAGTATAAACACGACAAACGGAAATACAATACTGCGCAAGCAGCGCGGGTGGCAAGAATGGACTTGTTTTGTTAATGTCGCCAGACATGTTTCTAACTACGATTCTTTGCATTTATATACAGGAAATAAGAAGTTATTGAGTGCATAACGCATAACTTACAGCGTTGATTATTATTCTAAAAAAATCGATGTACCTGTGGATCCGTTAGAACTTGACAGTAGCTTCATTTAGACACACACTTTTTATTTTTGTTTTTGTTTTGAAATTGGCGGCCATGTTTGATCTCGCTTAAATCTCGAATGTACGATAAAAAAAAGGAAATAATACCCAAGGATTTGAATATATAAATGTACTTTTCATACATGAGGCCTAATATTGAATAAATTATTATGATGTTATAAAAGATTTATGTTATTTGATTATTTGTGCACGGCAATATTAAATATGGCTCCTCCATAGAAGAGGCGGGGAGCATCTCAAACTGAATTATATGAAGTTATATTAAAGGTAGCATTTTGGGCCACCTGTTATATCTGACATAGTAAGATGTCATGATTATAAATCCAAGTTTAGTATTTCAAATCATTTATTCATTTATATGCAAATGTTTATTGTCAGGAAATACTGTTAATTATATTGTCATAACCGCTGTACATCTTTCTACCATCAGGTAAAAGGCATTCCGAAAGACCTAAAGGTAAGGAGTAAAGTAAACCGAAGTAAACCGAAGTAAACAAACTTCTCGGCTTTTATCCTTGGGTTAGTAACAAGGAAGTGCTGAGCTTCACAAAACTTGTCCTAACGGAAATGATTGCATTTGTTGTGAAATAACTGTTTATGCGTGTGTTAGCAGTTCTCATCGGTTCTTCCATGCGCATTAGCAACGTTTATTGCACGTGTTATAGACGATATGATATTCGGTAAGAAGCACTTTGTAACACGATTGACTTGCCTAAATGGACTTTTTACCAGTTAATTTGTGGAATACCGGTTGCAAGGTTATATGTTGCGGTTGACAGAAATTAAATAGTGTAATAGTTAGTTCAAAATCTAAAAGAAATAGAGATGGACAGTTTGATATAGAATGCATACATGTTTGCAATGTACGTTCATAATGATAACCATGCAGTCTATAAAATAGGAAGAAAAATAATAATACTAAAAGTAGAATTTTAAGAATAATATTATGGTAAGTTAATTAAACCTTTCTATACAGAAGTCTTAATAAGTACGATACTTATATATTATATCGCCATTTTCATAGTATATATGAGATATATATATGGGGCAAAGAAGTAATTCCAACAGTGTGGACAAGTTTAGGTTGAGATATATATATATGTGTGGACAAGTTTAGGTTGAGATATATATATATATATATATATATAAATGGAAACACTTGTAATTTAAAGTAATCATTTTATAATTTTTCATTTGTCTTTTCAGCATTTACAATAAGATAATAATGACATTGTAAAACCTCAAGGAATATGGATACATCAAGTCGAAATCTTGTGTCCAAATGGTCAGCCAAGCCTGGCTCTGGTAAGTCACTTTAAACTCATGATGATCTGAGGGATGAAGGTTTATTTAGAAATACTGCAATTAGTATCATGCATGAAGTAAAGGCAGTGAAGAAGGGCATATTTATAACATGAGGCAATGGGGTGAAATTTGGTTGTCCTTTCAGAATGAAGAAGGGACAATCTGTTACAATATAAAACACGTGAACGTATAAAGAATTATTTTTCAGCAAAAGCTATTTTAGGACACAGTATCCTGACATCATGTTTAACAGGTGCCCTAAATACAATATTAATATGTCATCATATAACAGGTGCTCTCAATACAGTGGCATCATATACATGATGTATATCTCATATGCAAACAGTACAGTGACATCATGTTACAGGTGCCCTCAATACAGCTGTGGCATCATAAAACAGGAGCCATCATGATAATGAAACCAATATATAGCAGGTGCTCCCAATACAGTGGCATCCTGCTGTAACAGGGTGCCCTATTAATACAGTGGCATTATATAACATGTTCCTCAATACATTGGCATATAAATATAACATGTTCCCTCAATACAATGACATCATGTAACACTGGTGCCCTCAGTACAGTGTCATCATTTCACAGGTGCCCTAAATACAGTGGCATCATTTAACAGGTGGAATCAGTATAGTGGCATCATACCATGTGCTATCAGTATATTGACATTATGTAACAGGTTCCCTAAGTATAGTGGCATCATATAACAGGTTACCTAAGTATAGTGGCATCATATAACAGGTGCCCTCAGTACAGTGGCATCATATAACAGGTGCCCTCAGTACAGTGGCATCATATAACAGGTGCCCTCAGTACAGTGGCATTATATAGCACGTGCTCTCTGTAGGTTGACATTATGTAACAGGTTCCCTAAGTATAGTGGCATCAGTATGGGCAGATTGGTCGAGTGGTTAACACTCCAGCCTTCCACGCAGGCGACCGGGGTTCGATCCCCGAAGTCGTCGTATTCACGGAATATTCAGAGAAAGTGTTTTTCTCCTGCCCACACAACTCCAACAACCCAGGTGGAGTATAAAATGGTATGGGGTAAATGTTGCGGTATCTGTGCTGTTGCATTCAAGTGAGGTGGCACTATAAACGATACCGTTGGAAGCACAGCACACACACAGGCATACACACATATGGAGATATTAGCCAGGCGGCATAGGACTAGGTAGTAATTAGCACCTGATAAGGCAGCTCCTGCGAATTCCTCAAAATTGTATTGACTTATGCATATGCTAAATGTATTGATTGTATAAATTGTATATCTATGTACTGTAAGCGCTTAAGAGTGGCTTAGGTTAGCTAGATAGGGTGCTATATCAAATGTTGTATATTATATCAAATCAAAATGTTGTATATTATTATATAACAGGTACCCTCAGTACAGTGGCATCATATAACAGGTGTCTTCAGTAATAATAATAATAATATACAACATTTATATAGCGCCCTTTATTATTTGTAAAATTACTCTAAAGCGCTTTACAACATATGGATAATAGTAATGGTTATAATTGTGAAAACAAAAAACAAAGGCTTACAATCACTTTTATACATTCAAGCAAGCAATGTGCACATAATTGAACAAATAAAAGGGTGGTATTTACATGACGTCTTTGCAAGGATTCTAAAATGCAGACGCAAATGCAAATGTTAGTTTTGATGTCCCTCTTGAACTTGGCCAGGGTATTTGACTTTCAAATAGCAGGTGGTAATTATAAGCTATTCCACAACCTAGCCGAAACAATCCCAAAGCATCTGTTTCCGTAGGTCACAGTACGAGATTTTGGGACACACAACAAAGATTCTGTGTACAGTGGCATCATGTTACAGGCATTATATAGCATGTGCTGTCAGTAGGGTGATATTATGTAACAGGTTCCCTAAGTATAGTGGCATCATGTTACAGGGGCCATCAGTACAGTTGTATTATATAACAGGTGCCCGGCCGGCCCCAGTACAGTGACATCATGTTACAGGTTCCCTCAATACAGAGATATCACGTAACAGGTACCCTCAATATAGTGGCATCATGTAACAGGTGCCATCAGTACAGTTGTATTATATAACAGGTACCCTCAATACAGTGACATCATGTTACAGGTGCTTTCAGTAAAATGGCATCATATAACAGGTGCCCCCAGTACAGTGACATCATGTAACGGGTGTTCATAATATCTAGATGAATCTAGAGCATGTCCTTATAGATTTGGCTATTTTGTTGATTTTCAAAACACATTCATTGAACTTTACCCATCCATCTCCTTGAACCAGTGTACTGTTGCATTTACCTAATTAAGAAATTCTTTAAATTGGCAGTGTTCTAGTGTGATTATAATTTATGACGACTTTAAATTTAAATCTGTCTGATTTGCTTTTGATTTGAGAATCAGATGTGGACATAGATATAAGTATAGTATAAGTGATTTCTCTAAAACTTGACTTTTGTATTTCCTACAGGGGTCTCATTGACAGGCGGTAGCAGCAGTTTGCAGTCCCCACTGTTGTCATCACTACAGCAGAAAACATCCACTTCAGACTATGGCAATCTGGGAAAGCATAAGAGCTCCACAAGGAAGACAATTGTTAGTGAAAAGAAGAAAAATAAGCTGCAAGATAGTCGCTTAACGACAACATCATCTTTACTGTCAAGTAGTCTGGGAGGTAGTTCTCTCCTCAGATCCAACCTTCAGAGTAATCTGGTCGGGTCAAGTCTGTCAGGGAAGACTTCACTCCATTCTGCCTCCAATCTTAGCAGCCAATCAACTCGGACATCGTTATTGACAAGTGGATCGTCGAAAGCGGAGATTCAACCACAGCTACTGTTGTCAAAGACACTGATTGGAAAATCCTCTTTGACTGGTTCTTTATCAATAGGGTTTTCATTACCACATGGATCTGTTGTTCCTGGTACATCAAGCTCACTATGTCGACAGTCTTCTGCTGAAAAGTCATCACTGCTTGACACGTCAAGTTTCTCCCCAAAGATGGTTTCAGTTGCTACCGAGCTGTCACCGAAGAAGAAACCAGAAAAAAGGACCCATAACCAAGCATCTGAGAAAACAGGGAAATCAAGGAAGGCAAAATCTAAAGGGATTATATCTGAGGAGCAGATGCAGATGCTAGCCATGAAACGGTACAAAATAGAGACCCCAGAGTACGACCTCACCAAGGTGCTCAAGGTTCCCATGGACACTGAGGTTTCTGATGATTTTCTGGATGTAGACAGAGATCCGTTACTGAACAGAATTCAGATGCCCCTCCATGATGTCAATGGAATGAAGGTATGGTCTTCTATAAAGGTACATTCCAATGGAATGAAGGTATGGTCTTCTATAAAGGTGCATTCCAATGGAATGAAGGTATGGTCTTCTCTATAAAGGTACATTTCAATGGGATGAAGGTATGGTCTTCTATAAAGGAACCTTCCAATGGAATGAAGGTATGGTCTTCCATAAAGGTACATTCCAATGGAATGAATGTATTGTCTTCGATAAAGGTACATTTCAATGGAATGAAGGTATGGTCTTCTATAAAGGAACATTTCAAAGGAATGAATGTATGGTCTTCTATAAAGGTACATTTCAATGGAATGAAGGTTTGGTCTTCTATAAAGGAACATTCCAAGGGAATGAAGGTATGGTCTTCTATAAAGGTACATTTCAATGGAATGAAGGTATGGTCATCTATAAAGGTACATTTCAAAGGAATGAAAGTATGGTCTTCTATAAAGGTACATTTCAATGGAATGAAGGTATGGTCTTCT